GGGCAGAGGGAGGCTCTAAAGCACTTTCCTTGTGCATTTGGAGAGTGGCATTGCCTTTTAGATAGGATCTAGGAGTGATATTGTTGTTTTGGAGAATGGAAGGGCTCTGTGGCCCTAGCTTTGTCATCAGTGACTGCCATAGCGACAGCAGCTCTGAACCTCATCTTTTGATCCCACCTTCGAAGAGGAGACACAGTACTCACCTTAATTGCGCTGGTAGCAGCTCATATCCCATTTTCGCCATTAATTGGAAGCTGCTTGGGATTTCAGCCCCAGGCATTGCACCTCTGGGTGGAGGAAGGAAAAATGTAAAATTGGAATGGGCTGTGGCCAGGCCTGGCCTGCCCAGGGTCCTCCAGAGAGTGGTAAAGTCTCCATGTCTTCTCAGAAGCCCGGAGTCCAGGCAAGTTTCCTGTCAGAGTCAGTCTCGAGCTTGTCCTCAGGAAGTTCAGTTACTTTGTGCAGCAGAGTGCTTTGTGAGGAAAGCTTGGGTTGCTTTCCCTGTGGCGGTCCTTGAACATCATGAGGAGCAGAGAAAGGGCAGGTCCCTCGTCACAATAGCCCAGCCTTCAGGCTACTGTTAGTATAAGGTGGGATTTCCCAGCTCTGGCGGACTCCTCCAAGAGAGGAAGGTCTGAGAGAGCCCCTCCATCAGGGGTTATAGGTGCAGCTGTGGGAGGCGCAGGCGCGGAGGCGACACTTCCTTTAGTGCCTTGCCTTGGAGTCTGAGCGAGCCTCATGGGCACTCCGCCTCTGTGAAGGCTTCTTCGTACCTCTAGCGTCATGACCCTTAGGGGTCTGAATGACTGGGATAGTAGCCCCAGGCACCCCCTTTCTATGTCTAGTCAGTATTTTTCCTCTTTGGTGTGTTTTGAAGCCATATCATACCCAGTAAGTCAGTATCATCTTTCATACTTGAGTGGCCCAAAGCCAGCACCAAATCCTTGGGGTCCCAAAAACTTGACAGGTAGAACCTGCCAGGTGAGAGGAAATTGGCTGCAAGCCCACTTCTGCTGTGTTCCTGTTGAGAGGAGCAAGCTACCTTTTCCAAAGACTGGCTGTGTCCTAGAAGAGCCAACCTTCTAGGCAAGCATATGATGGTTTCCCTTAAATGTGAGCCTTGTGCTTCCACCAAGTCTAGTGAATTGCTTGTGTTTGGGGCCACAGCAGCTGCTTTGATAAGTACCATATCCTCCATGCTACATACAGCTAAATTAATATTGTTTCATTTAACCAAAGCAAAAGAAAAGTTTGCTGTCTATTTCAATATTTCAGGAGGACCTACCTGTGCAGGAGAAATTCTGCTCTTTCCCTAAACTGGTGGTGTAAAGGCTGGTGCTGGGAGGAAACCCCATCTCTGGGGATGGGCAACTCTGTTCAATGGGATTACTGGTGTCCCATTGTTTTCTCAATTCTGAGAAGCCTAGTACAATAGTACTTATGTAATCACTGAAGCCTTTTCCCAGAATAAGGGAAGGCCCAATCCTGACGTAAGGTCACAAGTTCTAGGGGTCTGGCCATTGGCTCTAAACCCTGTCAGAGAGTTTTGGTTCATCATATCAATGCAACTTCGGTTTTCTTCAGGACTGGCTGGCCTTTTCGACGTCCCGTATCCTTATCTTACAATCTCAGCAGGCCTGAGAGGCAGGGTGTAAGGTCTTCATTCTGAGCACTGCTTCTGCTTGGGAGCTGAGGGGCATGAGCATGTTGCTGACGGTGTGTTGACAGTTGAGTGTGGAGGTGGGCAGGAGCCCCGGGGGGTCATTCTCTAGGAGAGCGTGGTGGTCGTTTTCTCTGGTATGTTCCCATGGAAGTCTAGGTTTGTACTAATCCCGCTGAGGATCTGAGTTCTGTGCCTTAGGATAATTTGCACTTTCCGGAATTGTGCTTAGGACAGCCATAAGGTGTCGTGTCCCGTCCCGTCCCCCCCCCCCCAAACAGCTATGCAAACAGAAAACAGTTCAAGGGTGGCAGCCATACACTGGGTTGAGGAAAACACAAGACAGGAGAAGTGTCTTCAAACGGTTTCCTGTAGCTAAATCTTGCTAACTGTCCTACTTGTCCTCTATGCAGTGCTAGGTGCTTGAGGCGCACCAGTAGTGTTGCTTTGATTACAGTACAGCCTGCGTTACCCTCTGTGCCAACACTTTGCTGAAAAGCCAGCTTATTGTTAGCCAGATGCTGGAAAGGGTGAGGGTGGAGTGGTGTGGCATTTCTGTTTTAAATAAACATTTAAACTCCCAGCTAGTGCTATACTTCAGCGTAAGCCTGTATACCACCTCAGTCACGGGACGAAACACTCGTCCTGCACCTCGGGAAATCTTTGATTCTGTGAGTCTTCTATAAATAAATGATAATAATGAAAAAAAAAATGTTCTTTTAACAGAAACGGTGCAAGAGACAGTACACAGAAATAACCTCTGCTGTTTTCCTATCTCATACTTGCCAGAAAAATATTTTTTGCTGCTACAACTCTTTTCCTCCAAAAGTTTGAAAATTTCAGAAAGTGCAGACAGGGAAAAGAAAGACATTAAAAGAAGTGTCCTGGGCTAGCGGGGTAGCTCAGCAGCTCACAGTGGCTTCCTGGGCAAGCCTTGTGACCTGGGTTCAGCCCACAGAACCCACAGAGCTGCCTCTGATCTCACACGCTGGCATGTGTGTGCCTGCCCTTGTCACGTCATTCACACACACAATAATGAGAGGCATCAGATTTCTTTTACATACCTCCTTGGTCCTGATGAGGAGGAGTCTCTAAGTGATGATGCCAGGTTGTCTATAAAAGTTCCTCAGGAAAGCTGAGTTGTATTTGGTCTCCTTGGCATAACAGCTGTTACTTTTCTTGGCTGAGCTTTGCACTAAAGTTTAAAACGAAAGGCTCCTAACGCTTCAGTTTCCCTTGGTTTGTTATCCAGAAACATTCATGATAGGGAGAGCAGCCCATAGAAAATCTGTCCTTTAGAGAAAGTCCTTCACATGAGATCCCCAGCCTCAAAGGACATAGCAGTCATGATAGCAGGAGGGTAGGGTACACTGCTGTCGAGATTCTCTGCAAAGCCAGGAGTCATTTATTGCCTCAGTGATTAACTGCAGACATAAACATGCTGGTCATTAAAGCTCACAGGTCATGGGCTTTGGGGAAGAAAATCTATCACAGCTCTGCTTGCCATCTGTGTATTGTGTAGGGTGATCAACTGACTGAGCAAATGTTGACAAGAGGCACTGTGCTGTGTGAGCTAGGAAATCCTGCTTCGACATGTCTGCACACACTTCTAAATGCAGAGGGCTACCTTGTGAGTTTCACCATGAGAATTCCCCTTAGCTTCTTGAACTTTAAAATGTATAATGTTTATAACATGTGCTTAAAGTAACAGACTATGGACATTTACAAGCATCTATGTGACCCCTATCCAGGAAGAGATCGAGGTTGTAAAATAGCTCTTAAACATACATACATACACACACACACACACACACACACACACACACACACACCACAGAGCCAAAGCTGGCTAAATTCAGAAGACTGACAAAAACTGAGGCCAAAGGGAACACAAAGGCTTGGGTTCTTGTTTTCTTTCTTTGGCAATTTAAGAATGAGTGACTGCTTGGGTCTATAGAAAAACCCACACACAGTTGTTTCCCCTTGAGAGCTCTAAGTTGTGGCCCTAATTACATTGTAGGATCCCAAACCCACATGTCTAAGAGGCCCAGCAGATGAAGCAAGGGAATCTGGCTGTACTTGCCATCATTCCCAGCCGAAGGAGTGACAGATTGTGAACCTGCCCAGATTGTGAACCTGTGTGGTTGCTGCCCAGTTCCCACCGCCTCCAGTTTGTCAAGAGATACTCCTACCCCAAATTTTAAAAGTCAGAACATAGTTTTGAATGTTTCATAACAATAAAGGAAGGGGTGGGGCTGGAGAACCTGGGTGGCACACATCTTTAATCCCAGGACTCGGAAGCAGAGGTAGGTGGATCTCTGAGTTCAAGGCCAGCCTGGGCTACTGAGTGAGTTCCAGGACAGCCTCTCCAAAGCTACAGAGAAACCCTGTCTCTAAAAACAAACAACCAACAACAACAACAAAAAAGAACATCTATGGGGATACAACTTTGTGACTTTAGCCACGGCTTATTATCTGTTGCTTTTAACATGGAGTAAGGAACTTTGTGTACTCGGTAAGTTTGCCTTGGGGAGGGGGGCCACATCAGGCTAAATGTCCTGTGGTTCTAGCACTCATCTCCCTAAGCTCACAAACCCACTAGTTGAGGGATGGCCTAACTTGAAGTAGGTACTGTTCTCACCATTAAGACCTGATTCTTTTCAAAGTTTAAAATAAAAATGTGACTGTGCTCTGCTCACAGGGCATGACACTGAGCATTATCCAAGCTTCTTAGACTGGCTCTTCTGCCTCAGGGTACCCAGACAACCTTGTTTGGAAGTGTCCTAGCAGCTTCTTTCTTTACCATATGAGATGCATTAAAAAAAAAAAAAAAAAAATGAGTACAGAGAAGTAAAATTGTTTTCTATCCACCCCTACCCTTGTAAAGTGCAAAAAGATGTTTCATTATACAGAACACCACAGGGAAGGTTTAGGATACGCTGGTCTCCTAATGTTATATACTTTTGTTGGCTTTCAGCCAGGACCATGTGCCGTGGAGGCCAGGGATAAATTTCTATTAATAATGCCTCACAGCAGAATCTTACTGTCTTTTATAAGAGCTACCATCTGCATATGACAACGACCTTCTGACCTCAACTTACTCATCCTTATACCCCTACTTTGAAAGCAACAGGGCTAACAGAACCCTAGACATGTGCCATGGCCAGAAAACACAACTAAACATAGGCACTTCCCCAGCACAAACCATGGTCAGGCTCAGGAGAAGAGAGCTTTAATGCAGCCTCACTATCCAGTGTCCTCATACACCAGTTCAGGAAAGAACATAAACACAGCCACAGTTGTGACCCAATGGGACACTGGGGCTTCCCCCTGCCTCCTGCCAGACAGCAGGCTCTCTGGGGGCGGTTTTGCTCTGCAGGCAGATTCTGAGTTCTGGAAAGGTTGTTTTCGCCTTGCTTTTTATCGTTCATCTGGTTTACGGCTAAAGGGGCACACAGCCTCCTGAAACACGAAAGGCAGTTTGTACCATTGTCTGTTTAGCTGTCATGCCTCCTTGGAGGTGGAGGACGGTTCTTGATGGTCTTACACTTAGGTATGTGTCTTTCAGCCACCTTGGGAGCAAAGTGGCGGCTGCAGTGAGGACACTGGACATAGTCTGGGCTTCCTGCCGGCAGGACAGGAGGCAAGTCTGAGGGGTTCCCACCTCTGGCGATGACCTGCTGAACCAGTCGAGCATGACGGAGGGTTCGGATAAAAGACTCATGCTTCTGTCTCCAGGTGCTCTTCCGAGGAGGTTCAGTCTGTAATGGGAAAGGAACAACAGCAGGGATATGGAAAAGGTCCTTAAGATCAAAGAGCAGGGGGATGGAGAGATGGCTAAGCGGTTAAGAACACTGGCTGCTCTTCCAGAGGTCCTGAGTTCAAATTTCCAGCAACCACATGATGATTCACAACCATCTATAATGCAGGCAACATGCAGGCAGAACACTGTCCACATGCTAAATAAATCTTTAAAAAAAAAAAAAATTAAAAAACAGGAAATGGAGACGAGACAACCGACCTGCCAGCACTGAGGCCTGGCTCAAGAGCCTCCAAGGAGGGGCTGTACCTGGAGACCAGCCATCTTCCCGCCCAGTCCCCTAGAGGCCTGGGTCGGGTAGAAAGGAGGAAGGTGTGGAGATGAAAACAAGCTGAACTTGGGGTTCCCCTCCTACCCTGTGTATACAATACCCCCAACACCCCCAGTACTCCCCCATGAGAACAGGAAAAATTGTCCTCTGGAAAAATTGAACTAGATAGATTTTTAAAGATATTTGTTTTTATTTCGTTTGTATTGGTGTTTTGCCTGCACCAGATACCCTGGAACTAGAGTTACAGGCAGCTGTAAGCTGCCATGTGGGTACTGGGAATTGAACCTGGGTCCTTTGGAAGAACAGCTGCTGCTCTTAATCACTGAGTGATCTCTCCATCTCCTTAAGATTTTAACTTTAGTGTGTGTGTGTTTGTGTGTATCATGTTTGTATAAATGCCCATAAATGAAGGCCTGAAGAAGGTATCAGATCACTTGGTGGAGTCACAGGTGGTTGTAAGCCACCTGAAGTGGGTGTTGAAAATTGAACTTAGGTCCTCTGGAAAAATAGTAAGCACCCTTGACCACTGAGACAGCTTTCCAACTCCTAGATGGGTTTTAGTTCAGGAAATCCAGACAGGATAAGGAGCAGGGTTCATCTCAGCAAGAGTACCCAACCACTGTCAGATTGCTTCCTCAGATCAGATCCAGAGTACCAGTGACTGTCATCCTCTTGAGAGGGAAAACAGTTCTCTGGATTCACCCAGTACCCAGAAGTGAACCTTCCAACATTGGCCTTGGGAGATCACAATTACAGGACTCTATGTATGTATGTATGTATGTATGCACATACACTGTATGTAAGTATTGAGTCCTTTTGTGAATAAACCCACTAAGGCTAAGGCTTAACTGAACATCAGGGTGTGGTGGTGCACACTTTCAATCCTAGTACTCAGGAGGCAGAGACAGGAGGAGCTCTCTGAACTCAAAGCCAGCCAAGGCTAAATAGTGAGACCCTGTCTGTCTCAATCAAAAACAAAAATACCAAATGAACAGGCAAGGACTGTCAGATCCTTGATGAGAGCTTAGCTAAAGAAAAAGGGTTCCCCAAAGCACAAGAACAAAAGCATGCATGCGTGCGCGCACGCGCGCGCGCACACACACACACACACACACACACACGAGAGAGAGAGATTTTAACAGAAAAATACAACAATAAATATATTGAGTCCAGAGTATAGAAGTGGCTCAGCAGTTAACAGCATGACTGCTCTTGCAGAGAACCCAGGTTTGGTTCCCAGAGCCCACATGGAGGCTCACATTAGTCTGTAACTCATTCCCAGGGGATCTCATGCCTCTTTCAGCCCTCCTTGGGCAATGCACACACATGGTGCAAACATACATACAGGTAAAACACACACATACATAAAGCAAAAATAAATATTTTAAACGAGAAAGGTTTCGTCTATAAAAGGAGTGTATTATAAAAGATGAACAGAGAAACAAAATAACTGTAAATTAAAAGCCTGGTAGTCAAAACTCAAATAGAAGCATTACAAAATAATAAAGAAAACTCTTAGAATGGAAAAAAGAAAGAGAGGAAAAGTAGAAATGATAGGGAAATCAGAAAGTTCAATATGTAAGAAAACTTTCTCCAAAAAGGACAGGAAGCACAAGAGGAAGTTATTAAACAATATGGTTAATATTTGCAGAATCGAAGATCACAAGTCTTGAAACTGAAATGGCTTACCAAGACTCCAATGCTGTAAAATCTTAGAATTTAGAGTAAAGAAAACCTTGTTTTTTTTTTTAAATGAAACAAGATAGGTTTCATAAAATGAAGCAGAAATCAAAACATTAGATTTCTTAAAGTAAACATTGGGCTTAAAGTAAATACAGGGCTGGAGAGATGGCGCAGAGGTTAAGAGCACTGGCTGTTCTTCCAGAGGTCCTGAGCTCAATCCCAGCAACCACAGGGTGGCTCACCACCATCTATTACGATATCTGGTGCCCTATTCTGGCCTGCAGGCACTCATGCAGGCAGAACTCACAATAAATAATTATTTCTTAATTAATTTTTAATTAATATTTTTCTGAAAATAATTATTTTTTAAAGCTCCAATAAAGTGAAGAATCATGAAATGTTTCTTTTCTCTTTTTATAACTTTTATTAAATTTGCTCTTTGACAATTAAAAAAGAGAGAGCTCTAGTAAAGGGCTAGACATGGAGGCAGAGGCAGGCTGATATCTGTAAGTTCCAGGCCAGCCAGGCTACATAGTGAGGCAATGTCTCAAAAACTGAGTTCTAGTAAAATTATTTCCTGTCTTGATTTCTATACCCAGCCAAATCATCAAGTAGGAAGCATTTATGTAGGTGTTTTCTTTAATTCCAAGAATGAGAATATACTGTCTATGGATGTCTCTTGGGAAGCTTCAGCAAAACAAGCAAGGAAACAAGAAAAAGACAGGACCAACACAGAAGAGAAGCAGAGGGAAGTCCCAAGGCCACAGGAGGAGAATGAGAAGTTTCCAGAATGGGATGGGGGCGCCTTAAACTGATTTGTTATAGAAGGTAACATTTAAAAATTCCTAACATACAGTAGATTTATTTAAGGGGAATTTTAAGTATAAATTCATGGTAAATACAGGATGAAAACACAAGGCAAGGGTGGAATTTCTCATCAGTGAAGGACATGTAGAATGGTACAATAGTCCTGTAAAAGCCCACTTTTAAATCAGAACTGTGATCAAGTAGAGTGGAAAGGAAAATAATAATGGAGAGGGACTTGGAACACGGCTTTGCCTGTGAGGATAAGCAGCCATTAGAGAACATGGAAGGCTGGCAAATCAAGAAGATAAGCATATTATTTAGAAACATGGAAATGCATGCCAGAAGACATCTCACACAGCTGACACTCAAGCAGAGATCTGAGAAGGATGAAGTAAGACTTCATATGGTTTTTAAACTATGTACAATTAACTGTTTAAAATAAAATTGGGAGCCAGGTGGCAGTGGCACATGCCTTTGATCCCAGCACTTGGGAGGCAGAAGCAGGCACATCTCAGTGAGTTCAAGACCAGCCTGGCTTACAAAGCAAGTTCCAGGACAGCCAGGACTGTTACACAGAGAGACCCTGTCTCCAAAAATCAAGATAAACAAATAAATAAAATAAAATTGGAGTCAGCAAGAAGGCTCAGTCGGTGAGGGTGCCTGTCACAGAGCCTGGTGACCTGAGTTCAAAGAGAACTAACTCCCACAAGGCCTCTGATCGCAACAGCATGCATGCATACCCACACCCAAAAAATAAATAAATACTAACATTAAAGAGAATCAAAAGACAAATGCCTCTTGGTAATAGGTAATAACGAGGAATGCTATCAAAAGAAAAAGCATGCTCTGCCAGAGACAGGAACAAAAGAACTGGAGTTAAAAGATGGCACTCAGGAACCTAAAAGAATTCAGCCAGAAGGATCTCCAGGGGCACAGTAGCTGTGTTTCCAGTCTATATCACACTAAACTGTTCCTTAACCACAAAGCACAAAGACCTGCGTGGGCTCCTGCCTCACTGCTGACAGTCTAGTAGCCATGGTGTGTGTGCTGGACGTTATGTGGATATTAAAATAATGAGAGAAAGCCCAGATTTCAGAATATGTGCGCTCCACTTAGCTCAAAAGGGCACAGAGTTCCAGGGTAGAGTGCAGCTCAACCCAAGGCTTTTCTGCCTTGTGTCCCCAGTGCAGCCCATGACCTCAAACTAGTCTGCTCAGAGTTGGGCTGTGTTCTTTAGCTTCAATGCTACTATATTTAGGAATGTAAGAAGCAAAAAATTCTTTTCCATGATGGCCCCAAGTAAGTTATGACAGGCCACAGGGAATCCCCAGTGAATTACTAGGCTGACCAAAGAGGGGAGAATAGTAACAGGCCATCCTGTCATTATCTGTCAGCAAAACGCTGACTTCTTGTTGGAAGCTGGATTTTAGGGACATTGCTCTGAACATGCGAAAGACATTCTTGTGGTGATCGCTCAAATTGTACTGCGAGAAAACACTATCATTATAAGTTATCTTCGAGCATCTGTCCCATCAGTGGGTATTTTTAAGGACTCCAGCAAGGGGAGGACATTTAAAGTGTAAAGTCCTGCTGAGTGAGGAGCTGGGTATCCGTATCTCCCATCCCACCCAGCACTTGGAAAGCAGACAGGTGAGTTTGAGGCCAGTCTGGTCTACATAGTGAGTTCTAGGGCAGCCTTCGAGAAGGGGAAGGGAGGGAAAAGAAGGGAAGCGGGGGTGGGGGGGAAGAAAACCCATGAGGATACACATGTTTTGGGAAAAAATAAAACCAAAATATGTTCTATTTTTTCCCGAAACTGTTAAGAGTTATATGGAGAACCCTTTCAGATTCTCTAACATGAATATTTCCCAACCCTCATCATTTTATTCTTTAATATTTTTTCTTTAAATTCACGATCCCACAGAAATCACGGGCTTGATATGACTTTATAAAATAAACACTGCAGGGAAACTCTGACTTTACAAACCAGGTAGCATCCCCTTGAAGGCTGGTCATGGGGCAGTTGTCTCCAGGTGCACCTAAACTAACCCTAACCCTGGGCGTGAGTCCCTAATGGTGTCACTTGGGTTTTTCTAAAGTGAGGGACGTTCTGGAGAGGTAGCTGAAAAAAAAAAAAAAAAAAAAAAAAGAAAGAAAGAAAAAAGTACTCCATCCCTATGATGTTACTTGTGTTTCTTGAATTTACTAAGAAAGTACATCAAAACTGAGCCCACTATTAAGCAGCAGGGACAACAGAGTGTGGTAGCAAATGGGAGAAAGCAAGAAATTCTCATAACTCAAGTAAGTGTCGCCAGGCGGCAGAGTTCGAGGCCAGCCTGGTCTACAGAGCAAGTTCCAGGACAGCCAGGGCTATACAAAGAAACCCTTTCTGGAAAAGAAAAAAACAAAAACAAAAAAAGGTGTCATATCTGTTTTAACATGCAAGTTTTAAAATTTAATATTTATGGTTTTTTTCCTGTAGAAAACATGAATTTGTTTTACAATAATCAAAAGGACATATATTTTAAAGTCTGTATTTTAGTGTCAATTTTAGTAAGATTTAAATATTGACACCCCCCCCCACCTCATAAAGGTGTAAAGAGAGTAACTAACTCAAGATCTGGAGCTACTGATCAGCAGTAGACTATTTATCTAGTACCTACAGGTCCCTGAGGAAATATTCAAGCTTTGTGTGTGTGTGTGTGTGCAGGTGTGTGTGTGTTGGGGGTCTGGTGTGTGTATGTGTGTGGGTCTGGTGTGTGTGTGGGTCTGGTGTGTGTGGGGGGGTCTGGTGTGTTGGGGGATCTGGTGTCTGTGTGGGGGTCTGGTGTGTGTGTGGGGTCTGGTGTGTGTGGGGGTCTGGTGTGTGGGGGCCTGGTGTGTGTGGGGGTCTGGTATGTGGGGGGGTCTGGTGTGTGTGGGGGTCTGGTGTGGGGGGGTCTGGTGTGTGTGTGGGTCTGGTGTGTGTGTGTGGTCTGGTGGGGGGGTCTGGTGTGTGTGTGGGAAAGTCTGGTGTGTGTAGGGGTCTGGGGGGGTCTTGTTGTGTGTGTGGGTCTGGTGTGTGGGTCTGGTGTGTGGGGGTCTGGTGTGTGTGGGGGTCTGGTGTGTGTGTGGGGTCTGGTGTGTGTGTGGGTCTGGTGTGTGGGGGTCTGGTGTGTGTGGGGGTCTGGTGTGTGTGTGGGTCTGGTGTGTGGGGGTCTGGTGTGTGTGTGGGGTCTGGTGTGTGTGGGGGGTCTGGTGTGTATGTAGGGGGATCTGGTGTGTGTGTGGGGTTTGGTGTGTGTGTGCGGGGGTCTGGTATGTGTATGTGTGTAGGGTCTGGTGTGTGTGGGGGTCTGGTGTGTGGGGGTCTGGTGTGTGGGGGTCTGGTGTGTGTGGGGGTCTGGTGTGGGGGTCTGGTGGGGGGTTTGGTGTATGTGGGGGTCTGGTGTGTGTGGGTCTGGTGTGTGTGTGTGGGGTCTGGTGTGTGGGGGTCTGGTGTGTGTGTGGGGGAAGTCTGGTGTGTGTAGGGGTCTGGGGGGGTCTTGTTGTGTGTGTGGGTCTGGTGTGTGGGTCTGGTGTGTGGGGGTCTGGTGTGTTGGGGGGTCTGGTGTTTGTGTGGGGGTCTGGTGTGTGTGTGGGGGTCTGGTGTGTGGGGGTCTGGTGTGGGGGGTCTGGTGTGTGTGGGTCTGGTGTGTGTGTGTGGGGTCTGGTGTGTGTGGGGGTCTGGTGTGTGTGTGGGTCTGGTGTTTGTGTGTGGGGGTCTGGTGTGTGTGTGGGTCTGGTGTGTGTGTGGGTCTGGTGTTTGTGTGGGGGTCTGGTGTGTGGGGTCTGGTGTGTGGGGGTCTGGTGTGTGTGTGGGTCTGGTGTGTGTGTGGGTCTGGTGTGTGTGTGGGTCTGGTGTTTGTGTGGGGGTCTGGTGTGTGTGTGGGTCTGGTGTTTGTGTGTGGGGGTCTGGTGTGTGGGGGTCTGGTTGTGTGTGGGGGCCTGGTGTGTGTGGGTCTGGTGTGTGTGTGGGGTCTGGTGGGGGGGTCTGGTGTGTGTGTGGGGAAGTCTGGTGTGTGTAGGGGTCTGGGGGGTCTTGTTGTGTGTGTGGGTCTGGTGTGTGGGGTCTGGTGTGTGGGGGGTATGGTGTTTGTGTGGGGGTCTGGTGTGTGTGTGGGGGTCTGGTGTGTGTGGGTCTGGTGTGTGTGTGGGGGTCTGGTGTGGGGGGGTCTGGTTGTGTGTGGGGGTCTGGTGTGTGTGGGTCTGGTGTGTGTGTGGGGTCTGGTGGGGGGTCTGGTGTGTGTGTGGGGAAGTCTGGTGTGTGTAGGGGTCTGGGGGGGTCTTGTTGTGTGTGTGGGTCTGGTGTGTGGGTCTGGTGTGTGGGGGTCTGGTGTGTGGGGGGGTCTGGTGTTTGTGTGGGGGGTCTGGTGTGTGTGGGGGGGTCTGGTGTGTGGGGGTCTGGTTGTGTGTGTGGGTCTGGTGTGTGTGGGTCTGGTGTGTGTGGGGGGTCTGGTGTGTGTGGGGGGGTCTGGTGTGTGGGGGTCTGGTTGTGTGTGTGGGTCTGGTGTGGGGGGGGTCTGGTGTGTGTGGGGGTCTGGTGTGTGTATGGGGTCTGGTGTGGGGGGGTCTGGTGTGTGTGTGGGTCTGGTGTTTGTGTGGGGTCTGGTGTTTGTGTGGGGGTCTGGTGTGGGGGGGTTCTGGTATGTGTGGTGTGTGCGTGCCTATGTGTTTAGGGGATGTCTGAGCCTTGAATTTTGAAGGGACACAATGAGAGACAATAAGATTCTCACAGAATTGGGAGGCACCTACGGAACACTGTGATCACAGACACTGGCAAACAGAAGTGTTGACTCTCCCCCTCCATCCTACACGACCCCAGCCCCCCCTGAAAACCGGTGAGGACATAGGGGACCATTACACGCACCCCCATACCAAGTCAGATCTAGGAGGCTTTTTTTTTTTATTACCTTGGCTGTGGCTGGCCCCTTCCAGTTCAAGAACTGCTCTAGTTCTGTGCCCTTAGCCCGGGCCCGGGAGGAGTCAAACACTTTCCTCCTGGACCCTTGCATCCTGCCACAGACAGCCGAGTGTTTCTGCAGCCTGAGCCAAAGAAACGTGCGCCCACAGTGGCTGCACTTGCCCAGCTCTGGCTCTCCCGTGGAGGAGCTGGACCCTGACGAGCCTGGCGTTCCTGACAGGCTTGATGCCTGCAGGGTGCTACCCAGCTCTTGTGAAGGTTTCGAGAGCACGTCTGCCGGTGGCCCTGAGTCCCGGATCTTGCTGTTGCTTGCCATCAGCCTTTCTCTTTTGAGCTTCTGGAGTTCATAATCAGAGAACTGGAGAGGACTGGAGTTTTCCTGAGCCGGCTCACAAGGCTGAGCCTCTCCCCTGTTTCTGCTGAGCACCTCAGGACTGAACTCGGGGGACAAGCCGGGTGCGTGTGCGTGTGCGTGTGCGGCGTTGCTGCAGCTTTCCCTAACTCTCCCCGCAGGTGCTGTCACTCTTTGTAGCTGTCTGTCTTCATTTTGCCGCGCCTGTTTCTTTTCCTTCTGAATCCTTCGGAGACCCTCCTCTGTCTTCCTCAGCTTCTCTCTCAGGAGGAACTCCTTCCTTCGGATTTCCCTCTGTAAAGTCTCCCCGGCAGCTTCTAGTTTTCGGATCTGTGTCCACTCGGTCCTGTGGAGGTCTGCCATGACCTTCTCTGCCTGCACGGAGGCAAGAATAGATGGATTCGCCCCGCTCCTCAAACCAAAGTCGTTGTCTGAAAACTCGGGAAGTCTTGGGTAGACACTCTGGTCTCCATCAGTGCCTGCCTCGCCTGTACTATGAGACTTCCGGTGGACCATGGGTTTCAGTGGGTATGCCCGGTCCACGCCAACTCGCTTCTTCCTAAAGGGAATGAAGTCCTGGTCATTTGCTTTGGGATACCGGGGTTGAGGGCTTGGCAAGGAGAACAAACCCTTTCCTTGGCCCTGGGGATTGCTTCCCGGGCTTTGCTGGCTGATCCTGGCATTGTGAGGGCAGGAGTGCCTCCGGGCTTTTGTGCAGCTGTTCGTTGTGGGGTAAGTGGAGACATCCTCCTCCTGCTCCAGCTCTGTGTTGCTCCAAAGCTTCTGCTGGAAATTGTTCCTCAAGTGTCCCAGCGAGGACCGCTTGGAAGAGCCCCCTTGTCCATAAGGGTCGTGCTTAGCTGAGTGGAGCCCTGGCGCTTCTGTTTTATTATGTGGGAACATAACGCCCACAGGCAGATGTGGAGCCAACTGGAGACCAGCCATTCAGGGCCTGGACCGAAGCCTAGGGGAGATTTAAAACAGATACATGTGAAGCGTTTGTCTGAGGTTCACTCCCAGCTGCTAGAGTAGACTGTTGGTACGTTTGCCCTACCCACGTTGCCTTTAAACATTTCTCGTTCCTCCGGGCTGTAGTACTCGATCTGCCAGGACCTGCCTTTAGTACGCATTTAGTGAGTGAGGATTCTGTGCCAGGCACAGTACGCATTTAGTGAGTGAGGATTCTGTGCCAGGCATTGTTAAGGCCAGAGGAGGAGCAAAACATGAACGGGACACAGGTGGTCTGCCACTGGCTTTCCTCCACACCCGTATCTGACCTGCCATACCCTATCATTGAATGGGTGGAGGCGGCAAATCTAAAGATTGACGGTCATCAGTGACAAAACAAAACAAAAACAAAAAAAAAAGGCAACCTGTTCTCACTAGCCCCGGCGCTCTGCTCTGAGTCCAGGCCCACATTTTTACAGGGTGAGGACAGGGGCCTGGCGACAGGGCCTGCCTGGCACACAGCTCCCCCCTGCTGCGGCCGCCCGGCTGGAGACAGGTGCTTGGCTGTCAAACCCTCATCCCAAGAAGCCCCACGGCACAAACCGCACCAGGTACCCGTGTGTTGGGGCAGGGGGTGGACACCTGCTCGCCCCAGCCGGCTTTAGATCCGGAACTCGGAAGTCACGTCCTGGCCCAAGGGGTCAAACGGTAACTCTCACTGGGATTCGGCCTCTAGAGAAAACCCTCACCCTTCGGTGCCGGGGGAGCTCGCGGTACCGATCCGCGTCTCCCCTCCTTTTCGCGTACCTGGGGCGCTTGGGGGCCGCTCCTGCTCAGGAAAATCCCCAAGACCTAGTTTTCCACACCTGACTAAACCCAACCGCCGTCCGCGCAGGCGCTTTCTGTGCACCTCGGTTTGTCCCCCGTTGCCTGGAAACCAGAGCGCCGCCTCTGGTTGCGACCCTCCAGCCCCAGACGTGCGCAGGCGCAGTCCACAAGCGGTCCCGAGTTGCCCGGACGGGTTTGCGGTGGAGGAAAGTGGGGCGGGGGGCGGGGGGAGGGTTGCATGGAGGGGGAAAGGGCTGCAGGCGGGTCACTTGACTCAGGGTGCAGCCAACTCTGCAGTCAGATCAGCGCTGCCCTTGGGGAGAGGGCAAGGGGGAGGAGGGGCTTTTCTGGGGCTACATCAAAGAAGAACTTGCATGTCTCTGAGAATGATGCTCCCAGACCTTAGGGTGCGCCCGTGTCTGGAGAAGGGTGGGCCCCTTAGATGGGCTGGGGCGTCACCCCGCCACAGGATTCGGGGGTCCGCCTGGCTAGCGGGACTGGGACTGCTGATCGCCCTTCTGAGCACACTCGGCTGCTGCGCCCAGGTCCCAGGTAGGGCTGCAAAGCTCCAGACTACATGCTCCTGGGCTGTCTGTCTTCCCTCGCAATGCTTTGGCGCTTGCTATTAGATTTACTATTATTTCGTTATCGTTCCAGGGTAGTTTCTAAGGCCAATCTAATCATTATGCTATTTTAACGTTTTACTCTCACGTGATAAACACGACCGTTTCTACTTAGGGCCCAGGAATGAGTCAGCCAAATGTAATGATAATAAAGTTAACTACCAAATCGACAATAATGAACATAACTTGATTTCAACATTAAATGATCCCTCTGACTTTTTTACATCAGAAGAGAGTTTATTTGTCTTCTTCGTGCTTCAGTTCATTTGGGTAAACTTTTTGGAACAGACAGCTCCGTTTTTCCTGTAACTAAGCAGAAGATCCGTGCACGTGGGAAATAAAGTGGACAACAGTCTCCTTAATACTTAAACATATCAGATGTCAGCTTTTATGCGCTACAAAGAGATTCCTTTGTGGGCTCTCCGAGGCAAATTGTCAGTCGTTCCCAATTGCCTCTTTTGCGTCTCCATATTTGCAGACTTTTCCCACTGACTCTGTCCTGGTAAATCTCAGCTTCTCTGCTTCAGTCTTCTACGACGATTTTTCCCCTGTGCGTCCTTTTTCGATACTTTCCATCTTAATCTCTGGTTTTAAAATATGCATAACTTCCTCATACAAAACAAGTTTCACTTCTCTGGACCTGTCTCGCCTATGTTAGGATCTTACTTGTTTCTCCTGTTTTGTTTTGTTTTGTTTGCTGTTTGTTTCAAGACAGGCTCCCTATTTAGCCCACCATTAGCACTGTTTAGCCCTCCTGCCTATTTAATCCTCTTGCCTCAGATTTTCCCCCCAGGTGCGCGCGCGCGCGCGCACACACACACACACACACACACACACACACACACACACACACAGAGAGAGAGAGAGAGAGAGAGAGACAGAGAGAGACAGAGAATCTATAAGATGTGTACTATGTGTGTGCAGTGCATGGGAAGGCCAGAAGATGGCATTGGTACCACTGAACCTGAAGTTATGGCAATTGTGAGCCATCTAACATGATTATCTCAATCTCTCTCTCTGTCTCTGTCTCTCTCTCTGTTTTGTTTGAGGCAATGTCTCAAAATGTAGCCTTGGTTGGCCTGGAACTTGCTATGTATTCCAGGCTGGCCTTGAACTCACAGAGATCCATTTACCTCTTCCTCTCAAGTGCTGGAATTAGAGGTGTCCACCATGCCCCACACCTCAATTTCTTGATAACAAACCCTACACACATACACCCTTCTCCCTTCCCCTCCTTCTTGTCCAGGCCCCTGTGGTCTGTCTTCTGCTCTCCCATGCTAACTATGGAACTATTCGTGTCCTTCCCACGAGTGAAGGCAAGAAGGCCTGTCCACCTGACAGTGTTGGTCATTCACTCCCTTAAGACTCACTTCCCAATACTCCTGTGTCCTCTTATTTCCTTCTCTCATAGCCTCGATCCATCTACTTCTATGTAAGGTTTCTGGCATTTCTCTCTTTCCCCCTGCTGGCCTCCTATGTTTAGATGTTCTCCCGAGCACTCTTACTTTTCACGTATTTGCAGCTCCAGGAATTCTGTTCCTTATAACTTTTATCAGTTGCCGAAATTTTGGGTTTTACCTATGTTTAAAATATTCTGGGGGGGGCAGGGCTGGAGAGAGGGTTCAGTGGTTAAGAGCACTGACTGCTTTTCCAAAGGACCCAAGTTCAATCCCCAGCATCCATATGGCAGCTCACACCTGTTTGTAACTCCAGTTCCCAGGGATCCGATGCTCTCATACAGACAGACATACATGCAGGCAAAACACCAATAAAAACGAAATAAAAATAAATATTAAAAAATATTCCCTGCTTAACAATAGTCTCTGGCCGGGCGGTGATGGTGTACACCTTTGATCCCAGCACTCGGGAGGCAGAAGCAGGTGGATTTCTGTGAGTTCTAGGCCAGCCTGGTCTACAGAGCAAGAGCCAGGACAGGTTCCAAAGCTACACAGAGGAAACCCTGTCTCAAAAAAAAAAAAAAAAAAAAAAAAAAAAAATCTATTTGCCCACCTGGCACTTCCTCATGGCAGTTCCTCAGGAGCCCCAAACCAGTGTGACAGAAAATTGATCGTGTCCCCATTCTCTGTCTGATGCTGCTCCATGTTGCATGTCCTCTCGCCCTCAAAATGTCCATCATCTTTCTCTTCTCTCTCTTGCCATCTCTTCCAACTGACCTGCAAATTCTGCTGAGTTTACATCTGCTGTATTTCTTTTTTATCATAAGCTGTACCTCTCTTGTTCTGCCTGTGTTTCTCGTGGGGGTGGCTTCACCCTCCTCACCATCAGCATCTGCCCCCACCCCCAAAGCCATCCTTGCTCTTCTCCAAATGAGGATTCTAAAACCTTTCCTCGCTTTCTTGAGCTATTAACAGAGCCTGGGCTTATCAACCAGTGGTAGAATGTATACTTAGAATGCACAGAACCTAGATTCCATTTCCAAGCAACAAAAGAACAGACATGTGGGCACCCCACACACACACACACACACACATACACATACCGAGGTGGGGGAGGGAGGGGCGGGGAGAGAAAGATTACAGATAAAAAGTGTATATAGCACTGGAGAAACATGTTCACTAAAACTAGATTGATAGTGAGATTAGCACGGCTGCTGCTCAAGAATGAAACACGAATTTACCAAGTCTGTCTTTTAAAAATTGAAGATATTGAGCTGTAAAGCTAGCCCAGTCAAGACGAAATCAGTAGTCAGGACCCACATTTTGAAAAGCTGGACTTGGTGGCACAAATTTGTAATCCTGCTTCTGAGATTGCAATGACAGGTGACCTCCTGGGATCCCTGGCCAGTAAGCCTAGCCCACTCAGCAAGTTCCAGGACAATGAGAGTCCCTGTCACAAGGAAAAAAATGGGTTGTATCTGGAGAATGACACTCCAGGTTGTCCACTGACCTCTATATGTATGTGTACATACACACATGAACAAGAACATATACAAAATCGTGTGTGTGTGTGTGTGTGTGTGTGTGTGTGTGTGTGTAAAATGTGTTTTGATACAAGTATACATTGTAAAATGATTAAATTGAGCTAACTAGTAAATCTTTCTGATCCTATAGTTTCTCTTCCATAGTGACTTCTTGAAAAAATGAGATGTATGATTTAGCCATTTTATATCTCCCACATTAGATGTAGAAATAACTCTATAGTCCTGTCTCCCTTTAATAAACCAAGTCAATCTTAGGAGGTCTCAACCATGGTTGTGCAGTGGGAAGATATTCTGGGAATAAATGTGGGCATATAATCAGAAGGTTCCCCAAAGGTCCTAACGTGCATATGGTGTTGAGAGTGCCTGGTTTCATCATCCTTTTACCTTTTTGCCTATGGGTACTATCTTACCCACAAGCTGGGGAGGATAAAAGGCAGTATTTTGGGAGTGGACTTTGGAATGGCCGCCTGAAACTAAATCCTGGCTATATAATTTTCTGGGTGTGAGTCTGTATGGAAAAATGCTGTCTTCTCCACAAGCCCTTTCTCAGTCAGAATTAATCTCTGCTCTATTGTATCGTTTTCTGTCTCTGTTACAATGCTGAGCTGGCTCATGATGAACCCTCAAGGAATGTTTATGAAATGCATTACCATGGTGCACATTATCTTGTCATCTGTGCAGCATATTTATCTATGATAAAGAACGCTTTGAGGGCAAAGATTATGTACCGATCATCTTTGTACACCATATGGTGTTCTGTACATTTGAATACTCAGTGGGTTTGGAATCTATGAAGAAACTTATTTTAAATGAATTTTAGAGAAATTACATCAGTCAAATACACTGTTTAGTACTGTTTTCAGATATTGCCAAGGACACCATCTAATCCAGCCCCTTCACCTCCCAGCAGGATGACTATGAGTCTGCAGTGAGGAACTGGTGTAATGGTGGGTTTCCATAGCTACAGCTGCAAACTGTCTCATCTTGCCAAGACTGCCAACCCAACACATTACCACACGGGTCCCGGTGTTATGAAATGATATAACATAAGGAATCCAAGAAGGAATAATAAACAGCACACACACAGTTTGTTTCATACACACTCTTGACCTTAAGGGTAGCTGAACTCCAGGACACACAAGTCAATTCTCGCTTTCAGAATCCATCCAAAAACCCCTTAGCGATTCTCTTTTTCTAAAAGTAAATGCACACAATTTGGTTATTTTGCTCATATGTATTGATTCAATTTATTCAACTTATTGATTCCATCCTGGAGCCAAGAATTGCTTGCCTGTGTTTTATTACTTGTTATTTTATTTAAGCATAATCTTAGTAAGGCAGACTCTGGGTGGCAGCTTCCAAAAACCCATATAGAATAACTTCACCGTAATGTCTTATGCATTTACTGTCCCTTGCTACCAAGTCCAAATTATGCATGAACCAAAATTGGAAGAGCATTGAAAGAAAAGAAAAAAGAAAGAAAGAAAAACAGGTCAGAAAGATGGGTATGGATCCTATTCCATCGATTTATTTATGGTGCTTAATGTTTATTGTCTGTCTCCCACCTCGAGAATGGACAAGCTCCTCTAGAGCACGATCCTGCTACTATAGTCACTCATATATTCCAACAGCCTTTGGCTCCTAGTAGGCAGTCATGTTACTCCTTAGCTTATGAGTGAACATATTCCAAGTGTTTCGTCTATGCCTTTCTATACCCACGGGGAAATGAGAAGAGAGGTGCGTCAGGTGGCAGAGTGGGTGCAGGCTGGGTCAGCGTGCACAAAGCCTGACTCTGCTGAGATCCTAAACTCCCGCCCCAGCCAGACTGACCCGTCCTGTAGCCCCGCCCTCAGGACGGCTCTTGGCCGATAACCTACCTTTGATTGGTTGGACCTCGGTGATGGGCGTGCGGGGCCGCGTTGGAGGAGCTGCACTCTAAAACTTCCGGGAGCGGCGGTTAGCGTATCGTGGGCGGTTGATCTGAAGGTCTCTGGGGCGGATCTGCTGCTGGTGGGGAAGCCCTGGAAACCTGAGTGTCGGACGCTGGGGTCATCCAGGTGTCAGTGGAGGGGATTGCTGGCCATGTGGGGAGAGGATGGATGGGGGCCGCGGGGCTGCGAGGGTAGCGGGGTGAGCAGGTGAAGGCCCTCGACCAAGGGCTTGCGTTTACACCCACGCACCCACTGCTGCAGTTCCCGGACCCTGAGGTTATGGAGAGGACCCAGTGGTGATGGAGTACGGGTGCAACCCCTTCTTAGGATGGGGTCCTGGCATGGAGCCTCACTTTGCTGCTTTCCTGGTTTTCTGACAGGCTTGAGCATGGCGGAAGGGAACACCTTGGTCTCAGTGGATTATGAAATTTTTGGGAAGGTTCAAGGGGTGTTTTTCCGCAAGTACACTCAGGTATGTGACCGTTAGGCTTGAAGAGGAGTCGGGAAGCATAACTAGGTGGTGGGCATGAAGCCTGGTTCTGACAAATGGGAATTTGGAGAGGCTGGCTTTTTGGTAGCTTCAAGGAGATAGTTGCGACTGGAGATGAGTGATGGACTGAGACTGTTTTGCAGTGTGCAAAACATGGTGCAAATGCAAGGGGCTCCTGACTGGTCTCAGCATCTAGACACTCTTCTGAAGGAGTATACACCTAAGCACGCTGTAGTCACTTTTAGAGGAAAGCTACCGTCAGGACGGAGATAGCATTAGTTGGACTGATCACGCTGACGTAAGTTATGTAATCACCCATCATACCCACAAGTTTATTCCTCTAGGGACTTGCACACCCTACGCAAGCACTACCAACTAAGCTATTTACCCAGCCCTTACTTAATTCCTTTCTGTTCTTTTTGTCTTTGAACAAGAATAAGAACCTTCTCTAAGGTAAATTTTCCTGATTAAAATACCTAATTAGACTGGGCACGGTGGCACACACCTTTAATCCCAGGACTCAGGAGGTAGAAGCAGGTGGATCTCTGAGTTCGGGACCAACCAGGTCTACATTAGCGAGTTTGGTACATCAAGGACTGCACAGAGAAACCCTGTCTCAAAAAAAAAAAAAAAAAACTTATCCATTGCAGTATAGGTGCTAACATGAAAGGTGAGTCTGTGTTCCCCTTACGGTAATGGGAAGTATTTGAGGAAATGAACAAACTGGGCAGCCCCTACTCTGCTTCCCTATCACTAATCTCACCCATGTACAAGGGCAATCTCAATGCATGTGCACCCCTATGATTAAGATGTAGGTTTGCAAAACTTTCTTCCAAGTGCCATATTGCTGGGACCGTGATGCTAAAAATTCAAACCCGAATCTTTGAAAGAGGGATGTCAATTGTCAGTACTTCTTATTCTAACTCAAAAACCCATTTTTCTGTTTTGTATTCATTTGTAAAGCTCCTGGCAAATGCTGAAAGTCATAGTGATGTTTGAGTTAGCTTTGCCACTGGTTGTCACACAGGACAGGCTCCTGTGACTTAGTAAATGGTGGTGACATACTCAAAGAGGAAGCAAAGTTGTTGAGGAAGAGGGAACAGATACCACAGGGCATCTTTCTCTACCTGCCCCTACCTCCACCCCCAGTTTGGAGTCAGTTTAGAATACAGAAAAGCAAATAGGATTAGGGAAAGCTGTTTGGGGACTCTTTTCCTTTATTTTCTGAGACTTTCTGAGACAAGGTTTCTCTGTGTAGCCCTAGTGGTTGTCCTGGAACTGGCTCTGTAGACCAGGCTGTCCTCAAACTCAGAGACCCACCTACCTCTGCCTCCTGAGTGCTGGGATTAAAGGTGTGTACCACCAACTCCCAGCTTCTAGGATTTTTCTCTTTAGATTTCTGAGCACATGTTTATTATTTTCTTTTTAATTTTTTTGTTTTTGCTTTTGCCTTTTGGGTTTTGCTGTTGTTGTTGTTTTGTTTGTTTGTTTTAGACAGGGTTTCTCGTATAACCTCTCTGGCTATCCTGTAAACCAGGCTGGCCTCCCAACTCATAGATATCCACCTGCCTCTGCCTCCTGAGTGCTGGGATTAAAGGTGGGCACTGCCACTACAACCCAGCAATTTTATTTTATTTTTTAAATCAATTTTTAAAAATGTTTGTGTATTGGTGTTTTGCCTGTGTGTAGACTGTGAGAGTGTTGGATGGATCCCCTGAAACTGGAGTTACAGACAGTTGTGAGCTGTCATGTGGGTGCTGGGAATTGAAGCCAGGTTCTTTGAAAGAGCAGTTAGTGCTCTTAGCCACTGAGCCATCTCTCCAGCCCCCACAGGTTCTTACTTATTAGACAGAAGAAAAGAAATATTAGGAAAAGGAACAGTGGGATTGGAAAGGGAACTGGCGTGCGATCCCCCTTCGGAAATGAGCTTTACTGGAGAGCCTCGTGACTGTAGGTCAGGCCTTGAGGTAGGAGAGCAGTATGAGAGGCAGTAAGTACATCAGATCAGGCAACATGGCAGGGCCTACAGGCTTTCAGGTAAGGTGGCTCAGTGTGTGAAGACACCTGGTGGGCTGAGTTCAGTCCCCCACATGGTGAAAGGAGGGAACAGACCTCTGCAAGTAGTCCTCTGACCGCCACACTTGTGGTCTGGTACACATACCTCACCCTCATAAATAAGTAAATGTAAGTAAAAAGTACATTTCTGTAATAGAGAGGAGCATTGTTAAGAAAGGTAACTTAGGAGCCTGGGGAGATGTTTCAGCAGTCCATACTGTTCTTCCAAATGACTCAAGTTCAGTTGCCAGAACACACATAGGGTGGTTCATAACCACCTCTAATTCTAGCTCCAGGGGACCTGGCACCACCCTCTTCTGGACTCCACGAGAACCAGCACTCAACACATTCACCCCTCTATATGCATAATGAAAATATTTTTTAAAACATAGAGATAGCCATCACAGATGAAACCTGCAATGGAATCCCCCAAACTAAGTATTAGAATTTGACAGTAAGTTATTTTTAGTGATTTAGTTTAGGATAGCCTACAGGATGAAGAGCATGGAGGAGCCAGGGTCTGGACAGGATCATATATTAGGAGCCGTGTGCTATGAGGCTGTAACGCAGCAGAGAGATGCAGCAGGGACATGGCCTGATTTCTCCAGGCTGGCTGTCTGGTCCCTGAAAGCAGCCAGTGTCTTCAACGGACAGGCCTGTGATCTGACAGAAGGTCAAATGGAAACCTGATAGCTGCAGGGCCTCGTGAACTCCTTCATGCTCAGAGCCCACTCACAGCTGCTTCCCTTCCCTACCAAGTTCGACAGAAAGCGGGCTCTGGGTGCAATGTAAACATGTTGGGTTAAAGAGTCCTCTGCAGGAAAAACAATGGTTGTGTTGCCCGGGAAATTGTGAAATACTGTGTAATGATCTTTAAAGATATAATGGATCGCTTCATCTGGATTCATTTAGGTGTGGTCCCCGCTAAAGGCAAAAGATCAAATGACTTCAAGCTTTTTCTAGTTAATACACCCAGTAGTTTGCTGATTAAGAGAAGAGAAAATGAGGGCTGGGGGGGGGGGTCTAGCTTAGAGCTATTGTGCTTGTGTAGGTAGCCTAGGTAAATTCTCCAGTACTGCCTAAATACTAAAACTCAGGGTCTCTCCTCCCACTCTGGTTTATTTGGCTGGGCATGATAGTGCACACTTATACTCTCAGCACTCGGAAGGCAGAGGCAGGAGGATGGCTGGAAGATCAAGGCTAGTCTGGACTACTACCTGATGGGTTCTGTCTAGGTCAGTCAAGGCTACATAATGAGGCTGTCTTAAAAAAAGAAAAGAAATGAATAAGTTGCAAGCCCAGGACCCTAAAACAGTCGGGCTTAGGAAATCATTTTAAAGGTATCTTTTTGGGGCTAACTTCAGTAGTCAACCACATTTATTACTACATAATGGAAATTTTAAAGAATTTAATGCTGAGTTTTGTAGAGTAAAAAAGGAAAATGGCATCTGAGTGGCTAACACTTGATGTTAAAATCAGCCACGGGATCCTCCTTGGTGTCTGTTTTGATTTTTCTGGGCAATGTCAAATTAGTTTCAGTGGTCTGATTCTAGGCCAAGTTCTGGCCACAGACTCTGGTGTCACTGTGTTTTTTGCAAGCTCACTGAATCGCTCTTTCTCTTTTCTCCCCCCTAGGCTGAGAGTAAGAAGCTAGGTTTGGTAGGCTGGGTCCAGAACACAGATCAGGGCACGGTGCAAGGGCAATTGCAAGGTCCCATCTCCAAGGTGCGCCACATGCAAGAATGGCTGAAGACAAGAGGAAGTCCCAAATCACACATTGACAGAGCGAACTTCAAGAATGAGAAAGTCATCTTAAAGTTGGATTATACAGATTTCCAAATTGTAAAATAATGACGTGAATTTTAATTTTTTCAAAAATAATTTCACTCCTTTTTTATTGATAAAGAAGTATTCTGTGCTCAGTATTAGAATTTGTCATTAAGTTATTTTAGCTGTGTATTTGAAAGTTACCGTGTATTACATGTATGATGAAATACAATTGTGCACAATTCTGACCAATAAAAACACATCAGCACTTTATGCTTACAGTGCTTACATGGTGTATTTAATCAGTGTTGAGAGGGGAAGATTTTGAGGTAGTTTAAAGAGGTCTGAAAGAGAAGAAGTGACTTTGAATTATTTCTTTAAATTGCTTACGCAGTTTCTTTAGGAGACTTGATGTGTGGTAAGGACAAAAGCCAATCATCAGGCCAGGGTGGAAGTAATTGTTCAGATGATGCTTTGGACTAACTACTTTTGGTTTTCAGGTTCTTGGAACATCTGCTGTTATTCCTTTTCCACGGGTTAGAAATTCACATAAAGTAGTTTGGGGCTGGATTATGCCCCCATCCCTCATTGGCATGCTCAAACCCTAACCCAAGTACCGGTCCTACTCGACTGCTGACACACAAGTGTGTGTGCACAAAAGATGTAAGACAGCCAGCTACAACCCAAGAAGAGGCCTCAGAAGAAATCCTGGCTGATACCTGGAATCTCAAACTTGTCCCAGAACTGGGGGGGTGGGGATGGGGGTGGGGGAATGAAGAGGTGGGATAACCAAAAAACTGCTACTCAAGCACACAGCCTGTGGCCTTTTGACACGGAACCCCTGCAAACTCAGAATCTTACTTCCTCAGCTCCGGAAGTCTGATTTGATTTGATTAGTACTTAAACAAACAAATATGCACTTGCTTTTAAATTTGTCATAAGTTCCACTAAAGGGAGGAGGCATGGCCGGGAGAGATGGCTCAGCTTTGGTAATGGTTAAGAGCACTGGTAGCTCATCCAAGGTCCTGAGTTCAATTCCCAGCCCACAACTATTGACAACTGTGGTCCCACGGGATTGGATGCCCTCTTCTGGTGTATAGATTTATATGCAAACCAAAATCCATATATATGTAAAGTACATTAAAAAAAAAAAAAGGTTTCAGGGCTCAGCTGAGGAGGTTTCAATGAAACTGAAACAGAGGCAAAAAATTGAGGGTTGGCTAATAATTCCGGAAAAATTCTCACTGTGCTATTAGGAGCTCTGTTCTCCTTCAGTTAGGGAAAAGCAGTGGTGGTATTGGGGAGATTAAAAGAAAAAAAATTTTTCAATGAAGGGAATCCTGTTTCAATTTTCAATTTAAGAGCTGTGAGAGGCTGGGCAGGCAGATCTTGACAAACCAAGAGACAGAGGTCTGGCGTCTCAGCATTATTATTATTAGCACTAAGTAGTAGTAGTAGTAGTAGTATCCTTTTATTTCAAGACAGGTTCTCTAACAGTCCTGGCTGTCCTGGAACTTGCTTTGTAGACCAGGCTGGCCTTGAACTCACTGAGATCCGCCTACCTCTGCCGTCCAAGTGCTGGGATTAAAGGCGTGCACCACCAACGCCCTGTTCTCAGCATTAATTCTAAGAACGCCCTGCATCCTCTGAATGTCCACTTGCCACCAGGACACCATAATAAACAAAACCAAACCCCACCTTCACATAGTTTACAATCTAATGAACAAAGACCAAGGAAACAAGTAAAACTCTAAAATTGGTGCTTGCAAAGGAGAAGAGGACGACAAAGGTAACAAAGCAAAACTTATTGGAGGCAGCCCACCATCGACACTAAAGAGAATGGGGCGCGAGCACTAATAGGGAGTAGCCAGGTGAAGTGGTTTAAGTCCTCCGCCGGGTCACCTTGGCGCCTGCGCACTAGACATCTTGCGGCAGGCTCGCGGTGTCTCGGAAGCGCATGCTCTGGAGCGCGCGTCCGGCGTCGGAGGCGGTTGGTTCCTGAGAGTTGATGGAGGAGATTCGAGGTGAAGGGGGAAAGCACGTGTGGAAATATGGTTCCGGGAGTTCGTGTAACACCTGCAGAGCTGTGCTGACGGCCGCGGGCCTGCCTGGAGGAGCCCGAGGAGGGGCCTCGGGAGCGGCGGGGCGGGTGGACTGCGCAGGCGCGGGCTTCCTGCACGGGACGCTGGACTGCCAGACCCTAGGGCTGCGCCGAATTCAGAAAGCTTATTAAACATTCACCCTGGTTGCCCAAGGCGGCGAGGTTCATGGTCTTAGAAAGCAATTCCCAGGCTTTAAAAAGCCGGTCCTGCCTTCAGCCGTGCTGTTACCGCTTATGAAGAAGGAAGTGAGATCTTTAATGGCATAGAACCTTAGGGTTTGTTTGTACCTGCAAGTAAACTTGAAATCGGGTTCAGACAACCCATACCATCATTATTAATTCCCAAGCTGTGTTCTGGAGATATGTGAAGACCGAGAGTATCAATAAAAAAAAAAAAAGAATATTAGTAATCAGGGCTTTTCAGCAAACTATCAGGCAACACAGGAGCAGGATTTAAGTAGCAAATAGTAAACAATTTACAAGCAAAGGAATTTCCTTGCTTTATCCCACCCCTGCCCGCAACCCCACCTCACCCTGCCTCCACCTGAGAAAGTAATTGTAACAATGGTAATCGCTTAAAATGTTTCTCCTTGATGTGTTTAACTTTTTAATTCCCTCCTGTTGTTTTACTCTTTTACTTACAGTGTCTTAGCACATCAAAGGTTTTCCAAAAGCCATGGATATTGTGTAATGTATAAACGTTATGAAACTAGCTTGGACTTTTTCTTTTTCCTGCATAATTTCTAGCTAGTGTTTCTTAGCTGCATTTAATTTAGGCATCTGTTTTTAGTGAAGCGCTTAGAATTTTGAATAGTGTCTTTACGGGTCAACATCAAGTATAATTATAATTTTACTTTAGGGCATTCACTTTAGGAACAGGGAAATTATGAAATTACAAATGCTTCTTTGTAGTTGAAGCCCAGGCATGAGGTTTGTGTGCTGTCTAGAAATTAGAAGTATACTTCTGTTTCATATTTTGGTTGAATATGTTTGTTTTCCTCAAACTATAGTTCTTCATAATACTTGAGAGAAGTGGGTGATGCTATATAACAGGTGAGATAGGTTATGTGTTTTGTTTTGTTTTTTCCTCATAGGTGGTTATTCCCAGTCACAGAAGGAAGCCAGTGTCTGGCATTCTCTCCACATGTCTACCTGCCATGATCAGGTGTTTGTCAGATGAAGTACAAGCCAAATTGCGTTCTGGTTTGGCCATAATCTCCTTAGGCCAATGTGTTGAGGAACTTATCCTCAATAGTATTGATGCTGAAGCAAAATGTGTGGCCATCAGAGTGAATATGGAAACCTTCCAAGTTCAGGTGATAGACAATGGGTTTGGGATGTCGGGTGATGATGTAGAGAAGGTGGGAAGCCGGTATTTCAGTAGTAAATGCAACTCAGTACAGGACTTGGCGAACCCAAAGTTTTATGGTTTCCGAGGAGAGGCCTTGGCAAGCATAGCTGACATGGCTAGTGCTGTGGAAATTGTATCCAAGAAAAGCACGACTATGAAAACCTTTGTGAAAACGTTTCAGAATGGGAAAGTCCTAAATGTTTGTGAAGCTGATTTGACTAGACCAAGTGTGGGGACGACGGTAACAGTGTATAACCTGTTTTCCCAGTTCCCTGTGCGGAGGAAAAGCATGGACCCTAGACTAGAGTTTGAGAAGGTTAGGCAGAGGGTGGAAGCCCTCTCACTCATGCACCCTGCCATCTCTTTCTCTCTGAGGAATGATGTTTCTGGTGCCATGGTTCTCCAACTCCCCAAAACCAAGGACACGTGTTCTCGATTTTGTCAAATTTATGGATTGGGCAAGTCCCAAAAGTTAAGAGAAATACATTTTAAATATAAGGAGTTTGAGTTTAGCGGCTACATCAGCTCTGAAGCACACTACAATAAGAATATACAGTTTTTGTTTGTGAACAGAAGACTGGTTTTAAGGACAAAGTTGCATAAACTCATTGACTTTTTATTAAGAAAAGAAAGCATTATATGCAGGCCAAAGAATGCGGCTGCCAGTAGACAAATGAATTCAAGTCCTCGACATCGTTCTGCATCTGAACTCCATGGGATGTATGTAATCAATGTGCACTGCCGGTTCTGTGACTATGACGTGTGCCTGGAGCCAGCCAAGACGCTGATTGAGTTTCAGAACTGGGATACTCTGCTGGTTTGTGTTCAGGAAGGAGTGAAAAGGTTCCTAAAGCAAGAAAAACTATTTGTCGAATTATCAGGTGAAGACATTAAGGAATTTAATGAAGATAATGATTTCAGTTTGTTTGGTGCTACCCTTCAGACACACACATCCACTCATGAGAAGTGTGAACAGAGCAGTTTCCAGGAAGCGTGCAATAATATTTTGGATTCCTATGAAATGTTTAATTTGCAGTCAAAAGCTGTGAAAAGAATAGCTACCATAGGAAATAAAAACACACAGAATTCCGGGACTTCAGAAGCTATCAGGAAAAAGACAAATGACTCATTAAGCAGTTGTGAAGCAGATGGCCTGGGCCACAGTACAATGACAGAGCCATCGTTACACAGCAAAGACAGGGCTCACTTACAATCAAGGGTGTTGTTGGAAGAAGCATCACAATCTGGAGAAAATGAGAAGCATCAGAAATCTTTCTTGGAACACAGGACCTCAGAAAGTCCGCATGGAACTAGCTCAGACGTGTTTCCAGGCCCTATTCGGACACATCATCTCTCTGAGGAGGGTGAGGCAGATCTAGAAATACAGAATATAAGTACTGCTGTTAATGTCTTGGCTGCCGACGATTCCCAGAATGGTGGGATTCAGAGTCCACTGGAGAAATGTAAAGATGCTCCCAAAGTGGGGTACCAACCTCTGCCTTTTGAGACAACAGTATTTAGAGTACAGAGTACACAGAGAAAGAAGGAAAAAAGAAAAGAGCTCAGTCATGGAAGAGTAAATGATTTTAGTTATGGACAAGTTCAGTTGGGCTCCACTGGCTTTATAACTCACGTGGTACAAAAGGAGCACAGTAAGCCAGCTGAAGCAGAGCATTCATTTAAAAGTTATGTTCGACCTGGTCCTGTAAGTGCCCAAGAGACATTTGGAAATAGAGCACACCACGCGGTCGAGACTCCAGGAAATGACGATTTAACAAGCACGTTAAGTAAAGAACCTGCTTATCTGCTCCACAAAAAATTGTGCAGGACAAATACAGGTTATGGGACAGAGGACAACCCAACAGAAGCGGATGAGAACCTGGCTCTTTTTCAGGAAAGTGGCACAGGATCCCACAGAGATTGCTTTTTGCCTGATACATCCATCTTCCCAAGGTACAGATATGCTTCAAGTAAGAAAACAGACAAGATGATGCATTCCTCCAAACACGTAGTCCGTAGGAAGCTAAGCTTGCGTTCTCAAGTAGGATCTTTAGAGAAGTTTAAGAGGCAGTATGGGAAGGTTAACAGTTCTCTAGATAGAGAGGGGGAAGGTAACACCAAAGTCAGGACCCATCAAGATGCTCGGGTCGAAGCTGCCATTCTACTGAAAGACAAGGACCACTCAGATATGTCTGATGGTGGTAAGAACTCTGCTGTGGAGCCCAGTGATTCATACGATACTTGTCAACCAGTGAGTCACATACAGTACTCAGAGAAATTTCCATTTTCCAAAGAAGATTGCTTAGAACAGATGCCTCATCTGAGAGAAAGTTCTATTACTTTGGCAGAATTATCTCACTGTAGCAGAAAACCTGATGTTGAGAAGTCCACTGAATCACTGGCTTCTAAATTATCCCGACTAAAAGGTTCCGAGAAAGAGATGCAAACTATGGGGATGACAGGCCATATCAGTGAGCTTCCAGATTCGGGTTCCAGTTGGGCAGACAGTAGCCGGGGTGCTAGGTCCGACTTACATGTCTGTGAGTTACTTAAAAATAAACACAAGAAAATAGAGAGTGACATGCTCCTAATACCAGATTCTGTGATGCAAGATAATTCCATCCATAACAGTGCCATACATTCTGACAACATAATGAATGGCACAGAGAAACCAGAAACTCCTTTGCTGCTGTTGCCCTGTAATGACTCTGAAATCAGTAGAGATTCAGATGTTCTCACCAGGTCTGCAGAGCAACATACAGGAAGCCCTGGTCCTCCCTGTGGAATGATTATGAGTCAGGTAGAAGATGCCACTGCCAGCCAAGATGGAATTTGTTCCCAGAATGAAGAATCTAAAGCAAGGTCTTGTTCCGAAAATGAAGACTCAAGCGCGTACTCTATGGGTTGGCAACAGCATTTTGATGTAACTCTGGGAAGAATGGTTTATGTCAACAGAACAACAGGACTTAGCACGTTTGTTGCTCCTACAGACGATGTCAAGACTGCCTGTACTAAAGACCTGACAACTGTGGCTGTGGATGTCCTACTTGGGAATGGTAAGTATGTAGTATTCACTGGCGTGAAATGTTCTTGAGAAAGAATAGTGGCCAAAGAGCAATATAACTGTTCACAGGGATGGCCTCAGCAGACAGCATTGGAAAGCTCTGGTTTATTGCTTTTTTTTTTTTTTTTTTTTTTTTTTTTTGGTGGGGGGGTGTTTTGGGGCTGGGAATATTGAGACAGAGTCTTGCTATGTAGCCCAGGCTGGCCTCAAACTTTTTGTAGCCAGGTTGGTCTTGAGCTCATGATAGATAGGTCCTGCCTCTAAATGCTTGAATTGAAAGTATGTACCCCAACACCCAGCTTCTAAAGGCCAACTTTAAAAACCTACAACGTGTTTAAGGCAATATGGAGGTTCTTTAGGTTTAACAATATTTAAAGGTAAGAATTTAGTGATGGCTGCTGGAGGATGGTGGCACATGCTTTTAATCCCAGCACTCAGGAGGCAGAGGCAGGCAGATGTCTGTAAGTAGAGGCTGGCTTGGTTTACAGAGCTAGTTCCAGGACAGCCATGACTGTTATACAGAGGAACTCTGTCTCAAAAACCCAAAGGGGGGGGATTTAATGATGACTGAAAAAGAACATAGGTAATTACATGTGTCTAAGACGTGTGTGTGTGTGTGTGTGTGTGTGTGTGTGTGTGTGTGTGTGTGTAAGAGGGAGGAAACTTCATTTTAATAAAATTGTGCTGTTAATAGCTAACAGTACTTATCTAACATTTCCCCTTTCTTCTCAAATATACTTCTAGAAATTTGTCTTTAGAGAGACAACTGCTTCTGTCTGTGGCTGACAGCCTAAGGTTGGGAAGAGCCTCAACTTACCCACAGTTTCCAGTAAGATATGTAGGCCAGTGCAGTGGGTTTTGTGAGCTTCCCCTAGAAAGCAGGGTCTGGGCAAATGGTTTTTCCAGAATGGAGGCTAGAGAGTGCCTTCATACTGTATTTCTCAAATGTACTTTATTATAATGTATATATCAATCTATTCACTACCTCTCTAATACAAGACGTTGATATTAATGTGGCTTTGAGGTCACGCCACAAAGCAACATCAGAGTCTGGTCTAGGACTCTGGGTTCTCAGATTTCGGGCAACATTAAAAGTGACATTGTTTTGGCAGTGTGTTGAGAGCCAGATGTTGGGAAACAGTAAAGCTGATTTCCATCTGGCTATAATCTCAGCTTTCACTGGTAGGTAAACATTAAATGTACATCCCTGTAGAAGTCTTGCATGCTATAAAAGAACATAGATTATATGGCTATAATTGCAAATTATAATGTCTCCTTAGGATAAATATCTGTAGCTGAAGGCTCTGATGTTAAATAAATTCTTTAGTTTTAAATGTTTTACAATTTTTTTGTTCCTCATGGGGGGGGGAAGACAACTATTATAACTTCTAGAGAACTTCATAGGAGAAGAAAACACCTTATTTTCATTATTGCTCTTGAGACTATCCAGTTGCTCTTCAGGCATCTTTATGTGCTCTTCAGTCTAGGTCATATGTACTGGTTTGTATGTGCCGAATGCTTATCGGAGAAGACCATCTAAGGCACCGGCACCTCATCTTCCTGAAATGTAACTGCTTCTGATACAATGCCAAAAAATAACTGGATCACGTTCAGCTGTGGGGTGGTTGTTGCCAAAACTAAGGAGTGGGGGAGCTTAGCTGCCACACTCAACATAAACATCTGTTCCTGTTAAGTAGATATAGGTGTTGAAGCTACTCCAGGGCACTTAACCATCTGGAGTGCCACATCTTGTGAACTTTTGAGAGTCACACGAAATAAGCGGCATCAGAACATGTTCATTGAGAAGATGGCACCTCACACCCTCCATTCACATGGAACTGGCTCTTTACGGTGGGACACTAGGACATGATTGACCCACACTTGAAAATGTAGACATGCAACATTTTACTAAAGGGCAACTCATTTTAGCACTTGGGATGTGGTGTCAGGGAGATCAGGTAAAGGTCATCCTCAGGTACATCTTGAGGCCAGCTTGGTTACATGAAACCAAGATTTTGTTATATAAAGGTAAATTTAGAGTAACATCATATCCCTAATCTGTGGGATTATTTTTCCTTTAAAAATATCTTCTTTAGTTTATATATTAGCTAAACATTTTAATACTGAGCTGTAGTCCCAATTTGTGTTTTGAGACAGGGTTTCTCTGGGTAACCCTGGCTGTCCTGTAATTCGATCTGTAGACCTGGCTGGCCTCGAACTCATGGAGCTCTGCCTGCCTCTGCCTCCCAAGTGCTGGGATTAAGGGCATGTGACACAACTTTATTTTAGCTAATCTCTTGCTTTAGTTTTTGTTCAACAGGCTTATCTTTTTTTGATAGTTCTGTTATATGTTCCCCCTTCCTTTTAAAATTAAAAACTTTTTTTTATATATTTGAATGTTTTTGCCCATATGTATTCTGTGCACCATGTTCATGACTCATGCCATGGAGGCCCAAAAAGGGCATCAAATCCCATGGAATTATAGTTCCATGGCTGTGAGCCAACATGTGGGTGCTGGGAATTGAACCTAGATCTTCTGAAAGTGCAGCTGGTGCTCTTAAACAGTAAACCATCTCTCCAGGCCCCATATCCCCCCCCCTTCCTTCCAATGGTTAGAATTTAGACTGTATCATTCCTGAGTACCTTTCATTCACTCATCCACCTTTTTACTTTTTTAAAAAAATTGTATGGCTGCACACCAGAAGAGGGCACCAGATCTCATTACAGATGGTTGTGAGCCACCATGTGGGTGCTGGGAATTGAACTCAGGACATCTGGAAGAGCAGCCGGTGCGCTTAACCAATGAGCCATCTCTCCATCCCTGCCACTTGTTCATCATTTGTTGTTTGTTACACCTTGGTAGCTGTTGTCACATTGAAACTTATCTGAGTTCTCAGCATTTCAGTCTGTTAGGGATAGCCTTGTAATAACAATGAAATCATGATTACAATAGGGACACAGATTGCAGATTGATGAGAGACATCGAAGCTGGGAGTTTGTGAAGGCTGCACCAGGTTGTGAGTGACCATAAGTACACCTGTGTGTCTGACACACTTTCCTGAGTAACTAGACCTGGTAGGGTGTTTAGCAGCACCCCAACTTTATCTGCTGGTTTCCAGTAGCTGCACCATTTACCCAAGACATGACTGTGTAAAGTGGCTGAAGACATTCCTTAATATGTCCTTGGAACCAGCATGTCGCACCATTGAAAATCACATAGCCTGGAAAAAGAGATAATGTGTTAATGTAAATAAGTTAGCAGATAATTTCACTGGAAATCCTGACTTCCATGTATTATTTAGTTGTCTGCTTTCTGTCTTTGTTCAGTTTATTGAGAAAGAGATTTTTATGTAGTTTTAATAGCTTATTTGTATGTTGAGTTCACATTTGTAGGTTTTTTTTCTTTTTTGTTCAGGGGTTCAGTACAGGTGTCATCCTTTTAGAAGCGACCTTATTCTTCCTTTCCTTCCAAGAGCCCAGGAAGAGAGGATTGTGTTGAGACAGAACCCCAGAGGTGAGAGCAATACCAGAGGCAGTGTGTGGAGATACCTGGTACACCCTGTCCCACTTAATGCACAAGACTAAGCCGGGTTGCATTCTGAAGCTTGATCAGCACCAGCTGTGCTTCAGGAACCAGGAATTCCCCAGGGCTCTGTTTAACAGCAGAACTAAGTGATTCCGTACTTGCATTCAGACCAGAAATTGCTTTTCCAGACTGGAAGCTGGTGCTGGGTGATTATGCATAGGCTATGGTGTCTGTGACTGGGGAAATGTTTCTTAATTTTGAAGATTGAATTTCTCCATATTACAGTAGTTTGATCTTTGTAAAATTCTTTGAACAAAAGCTAAAGAAACTTATTATTTTTGTTTTTGTTGTTTCTTAAAAATAGATTAAGTATATTCTTATCAAAAGACAGCAAGAAAATTTGAACTATAGTTTTTTCTGTACACACATTTGGAAACAATCTTCTTCTGTTTTAAGACCTACTTGGTTTTATTTTGTGTGTGGGTGTTTTTGCCTGCATGCGTGTCTGTGTTCCATGTGTATGCAATGCCCATGGAGGCCAGAAGAGGGCGTCAGATTCTCTGGAACTGGAGTTACGTGAGCCACATGTGGGTGCCAGGAACCAGACCTGAGTCCTCTGCAAGAGCAGCAGGTTCTCTTAACCTCTGAGCCATCTCTCCAGCCCCCTGAAACGTTGTTATAAACTTGTAGTTCTCAACCTGTGGGTTGTGACCCCTTAGGTTGCATATCAGATATTTAAATTACATACATAACTGCAGCAAACTTACAGTTATAAAGTAGAAATGGAATAATTTTATGGTTGGGTGTCACAACACGAGGAACTCTATTAAAGGGTCCCAATATTAGGAAAGTTGAAAAGCATTCTTCTAGACAATTTGGAGAAACACTGTCTCAGAAGGTACAGCCATAATACTATTTTTAAAGTAGTATCAATCTGGGCAGTGGTGGTGCACTCCTTTAATCTCAGCACTTGGGAGGCAAAAGCAAGCGAGTCTTTGTAAGTTTGAGGCCATCCTGGTCTGCATAGTGAGTTCTAGGCCAGCCAGAGCTACATAGCGAGTCTCCAAAACCAAAGAAGTACCATCAAAACAATTGTAGGGATATGGTTCAGGCTGTGACCGTTTGTAGAATGGAGGGATAATGTGCGTATCTGTGGGCTTGAGGCTTTAGCTGAATAGGAGAGGACACTCTTTTCTGGGTTCTTGATGGCAACTGTCCCTCTTTGTCCTAGATGCCGTGGCAACTGCTGCTGTCAGTGAATCGCTTCAGTCTTTGTTTTCAGAATGGAACAATCCAGTATTTGCCCGTTACCCAGAGGTGGGTCTGTAGTGCTTTTTCTTCCACAGTTTGTAAACTTGAGCTTCATTTAAGCTGGTCGTGGGCATGCATGAGTGTATGAATTTGTAATTATGAATGGGAAGTAGGCAAATTCCTAGGTGATTTACTTGGAAATTAGCATTTAATGTAGAGAGGATAAGTCAGCATTTTGGAAAGGCCAAGAATTTTGGATTACATGTATATGCAGTGTGAAGAGTAGATGCATTCATCCTGTCTTACAGGGTGGTAAAGTAAGGGTTAACCATTTCGTCTACAGGAACAGTTCTGTGTATCCTGGCAGTGTTCTTTCTGTGATACGTTTGATGCGTTATCACAGCATGTACTGAGTGTGTTAATGAGCCTGGGTAATAGACAAGCATCTGAATACCGATTCCTCACTTAAGATGCCTTTACGGACTTAATCATGGAGCACAGACAAATTGTTCTGAAATAGTGCTGGGTTTTGTCAGTGTTTATAAAAAAATTGTTAGACAACTTTTCTCAGAGCCTATTGGCTCTGTAGGTTTCTTACATTCATCCTGTTTCTAGTAGGATGTACAAAAATGCTTGTTTGGTTTTGGTTTTATTTTTTGCAGTTCTGGGAATTGCAAAGCAGGGCTTTGCATATGCTAGGCAGTACTTCCCCCTGACCTATATATCCCGAGCCCAGTAAAATGAGTATTTTACAGGACTTTGAAATCATTGACAAAACAGTTCCACAGACATTAAAAATTAAATGATGTTTTTACTGGATCTTTCTAGGTTGCTGTTGATGTCAGCAGTGGCCAGGCTGAGAGCCTAGCAGTGAAAATTCACAATGTACTCTATCCCTATCGCTTCACCAAAGAAATGATTCATTCAATGCAGGTAAAACCAACACTTGACATCCATGTCATGGTTAAGCTAGACTTAACTTGCGAAATTGAGTTTATTTTTATTGAGAGAGACTGTATTAGTCAAGACGTGCTGTATTAGGCTTCTTTAGAGGAATAGATAGAATGACAGATTTATTAGACTGGCTTACAGGCTGTGGTCCAGCTAGTCCAACAATGGCTGTCTACCAATGAAAGATCCAAGAATCCAGTAATTGTTCAGTTCACGAGGCTGGATGTCCCAGCTGGTCTTCCGTATACACTGGAATCCTGAAGAACGAGGCTCTAATGCCAGTGAAGGAATGGATTTACCATCCAGAGCGAAGGCAAGCCTCCGGCAAAGACAGCCAGCTTCCTTTTTCCTTGTCGTTTATATAGGCAGCCAGCAGAAGGTATGGCCTAGACTATAGGTGCATTTCCCCGCCACCCAAAAGATCTGGATTGAAGGTTTATCTTCCCACTTTAGAAAGTCTGAATTAAATGTGGGTCTTTCTACTTTAAATAATTTAATTGAGAAAAAAAAAATCCCTCACAGGTATGCCTGCCTCTTAGGTTTCAGTTATGTCCAGGTGTAGTCAAGTTGACAACCAAGAATAGCCATCACACTTGTGTTTCTTTGTTATTTTGGGTTTTTGTTTGTTTGTTTGTTTGTTTGAGACAGGGTTTCTCTGTATTGCTTTGGAGCCTGTCCTGGAACTTACTCTGTAAACCGGGCTGGCTTCGCACTCACAGAGAACCGCCTGCCTCTGCCTCCCCAGTGCTGGGATCAAAGGTGTGGGCCACCATTGCACAGCTGGGACCTTGAATTTTTCTCATCAGAAAAAAAAAATGCAGATTAATTTCAGTAGCAAAGAAGAATAGCCTTAACGATGTGTGTGAGCAGTTTTCAGGAAATGAGCCTTAACGATGTGTGTGAGCAGTTTTCAGGAAATGAGTTATGGTTCAGGCTAATGATGCCAAGGACTTTTAACATTTCTGCAGACAACTATATTTGGAATGTTACATTTTATAACTAGGTGACAAATGCCAATCAATTATTTATAAATTAACATTGTCCTTAATGTGCAAAAGTACTCATTTTTAAATGACCCTCTGTGTGAGGGTCCCTGTAAAGGTTAGGGAGCTGTACACTGGGAAATTCATTACCAAAAGGGACACCCCTGTCTCCCTGCTTTTCTGCTGTGCTCTCTCTACACTGCTCTCCCTGTCTTAGTCTCGGTGTCTTTGGATTGGAAACCGCTAGGGCATTAGCAATGCTAAGTAAATGCCTACCCAGGTGTTGACGTGGGTTTAGAGCAAGGGAACAGTTATCCAGAAAGAGACCTTTTCGGAGCATGAACCTGGAGAGAGCCACCACAATCTGACGCTGTTTGAGTCTTTCTCTACTGCACTTAGACCAGCTCTCCCAAAATGGCTTTCTGTAGTTGGTTTATACTTTTCACCCTTATGCTCTTTGTTCTTTGGGGTCCACCACCCAGCTCCCAAATAAATCACACACTGAGGCTTTTCCTTCCTTCCTCCCTCTATATCTTCCTCCTCCTCCCTCCCTTCCTCCCTTCCTTGTATACAGTGTTCTGCCTGAATGTCTGCCTGCAGGCCAGAAGAGGGCACCAGATCTCATTATGGATGGTGTCTGGGAATTGAACTCAGGACCTCTGGAAGAGCAGCCAGTGCTCTTAACCTCTGAGCTATCTCTCCAGCACCCTAGGCTTATTTTTTTCTTATAAATGCCCTGTCTTAGCTTGGCTTGTTTCTTGCCAGCTTTTGTTAAATTATCCCAACTACCTTTTGCCTCCGGGCTTTTTCCTTTTCTTACCTCTGTGTGTCTGACTCTCACTCTTGTTGTGTGGCTACTCCCAGGCTGGCTGGGTGGCTGGCCGGCCCCTGCCGTCCTCCTCTCCTTGTTCTCTTTCTCTCTTGCTCCTCTCTTTCCCAGACTTCTCCTCCTGTTCATCCTCTCTGCCTGCCAGCCCCGCCTATCCTTTCTCCTACCTCGCTATTGGCCATTTAGCTCTTTATTTGACAATCAGGTGTTTTAGGCAGACAAAGAATCACAGCTTCGCAGAGTTAAACAAATACAGCCTAAACAAAAGCAACACATCTTTACATCGTTAAACAAATGCTCCATAGTATAAACAAATGTAACACCTTAAAATAATCTACAACAGCTTTCCTTGCTTTTCACAGTTGAGAATTTGTATATTGTTCAATGCATGATGACACACCTTTAATCCCAGTAGTTGGGAGGCAGAGACAGGAGGCTGTCAGTGATATGGAGACCAGCTGGTCTACATAGAGTTCCAAGCCAGGCAGGGAGGGCTACATATTGAGACAATGTCTTTAAAAAGATACATAAATTATTTTAGTTCTATTCATTAGCAGTCTCTGGTCATATGTGTTACTGAGAGTCTCTCAGTTGGAAACATTGTAGAAATACTCTGCCGATGCCAACTCTCTTCTCTTCCTGTCTTCAACCTGGCCTCCTTGCCCATCCTTTTATCCTACCTCAGAACTGTCTCACAGTCAGAAACACCTTACTCACTGTTAATGGTTTTTTGTTTGTTGGTTAGTTTTTTGTTTTGTTTTATTTTTTATTTTATTTTATTTTCTGGCTTTTCAAGACAAGTTTTCTCTGTGTAACAACCCTGGCCGCCCTGGAACTTGCTCTGTAGACCAGGCTGGCCTCAAACTCACAAGATCTACCTGCCTCTGCCTCCCAAGTGCTGGGATTAAAGGCGTGCGCCACCACTGCCTGGCTTCTTACTCAAGAGTTTTAAAACAAGTCTTTTTTGTGTTTATTGGGAATGAGATAGAGGTCAGAGAACAACTTGCAAGAGTCAGTTCTTTCTTCCATGTGGGTCCCAAAGGTGAAACTCAGGCAGTCCATTTTGGTGACAAGCACCTTCCTGGGTGGAGCCATGAGCTAACTGTGGGTGTTAGCATGTCAAATGTCATTTTAGCTCTTTATGCAGATACGCCTTTGCTAACTTTTGTTAGGGTCACACTATTTATCTAAATGAATGACAGGTTCTCCGGCAAGTGGACAACAAGTTTATTGCCTGTTTAATGAGCACGAAAATGGAAGAGAATGGCAAAGCAGGTAAGCTTGGGGTTTTGCTTCAGTTAATAATCTGACCGGTGTTCTGGGGGATGCTCCTGTTGTGGAATATGACAGCTTGTGTGGGATCAACAACTTGAAATTGTTGTAATTTCAGTGATTTAAACAGATAAAGGGAAACGGATCTAAAGGCTGAAACAAGTTTTAAAGTACATGAATTTTAAGTACATTGACACACATACATATAAATGAGATATATCAAGTTAGTGGTCTTTTGAGATGTAGCCCAGGATTGCCTCATACTCATGGTGTCCTAATGCCTCAGCCTGACAGACTGCTGGAATTACAGGCCTACACCACACCACACCTGCTGCATTAAACTATTATTAATAGTAGTCACCTTGGAAATGAAAATAAATGTGGTCAAAGGGAGAATTACATCTTCTGCTCCCTTAAAATATTTTGTTATAGAATTGTTAGTTCTCTCTCTCTCTCTCTCTCTCTCTCTCTCTCTCTCTCTCTCTGTGTGTGTGTGTGTGTGTGTGTGTGTGTGTGTGTGTGTGTAGAACTTCAGGTGCCTTCCTCTAGTACTTCTCACCCGACTTGTAAACCTAGAGACTACTGTTTCTACTGGATTTGCTGTCCAGCAATACCTCTACCTCATCTGCCTGTCCCTACCTTCCCCTTTGTTGCAGCTGTAGGTGTGGACAGCCACATTCAGGTTTTTATGTAGATGCTAGGAATCCAAACTCACATTTTATGCTTGCATAGCAATATTTATTTTGCCCCTGAGCTCCCCAACCTCCCCCTTTAGTGGCTGTACGTATAGGAAGATGCTCACTTATGCATATGAACACTAAAAGATAAGTGTGGGCTGAGTGGTTGTGGCACTCGCCTTTAATCCCAGCACTCGGGAGGCAGAGGCAGGCGGATCTTTGTGAGTTCCGAGGCCAGCCTGGTCTACAGAGAGAGTTCAGGACAGCCTCCAAAGCTACACGGAGAACCCTGTCTTTTTTTTTTTTTTTTTTGAGGCTGCCCTGGAACTAGCTCTTAGACTTGTAGAAACCCTATCTTGAAAAACAAAACAAAACAAAACAAAAAAGATAACCTTGGGTGTCATGTTCAGGAATGCCATCCATCTCCTTTGAGACAGGATTTTTTAATTTGCCTGGAGGTCACCAGTTAGGCTAGACTGGCTGGCCAGTGAGCTCCAGGGGTCTTGTCTTCCCCCTCTCCAGTTTTCATATTACAAATATGTACCACCTACCAGGCATTTTTATGTGGATTCTGAGGATCTAACTCAAGTCCTCATGCTTAGCCCACCCTCCCCCCCAACTTCTTTTACAGGGTTTTCATCAATAGTAATAATAGTAAGCGTATATAATGTGTTCTAGGTTCTAGAGTTACACAGAATCAGGAGGCTGGAGAGATGGCTCAGTGGTTAAGAGCACTGGCTCCTCTTCCAGAGGACCTGGGTTCGATTCTCAGCATCCACCTAGTGGCTTACAGCTATCTATAACTCAAGTCCTAGGGCATCTGACGCTCTCTCCTGACCTCCCAAGAACCAGGCGTGCATGTGGTACACAGATGTGTAGTTAGGCGAAACACTCACACACATAAACTTAAGAGAATTATACAGAATCAGGTAGTGACTTGCTTTAATGAAACAATAGTTCCTACATAAATCACTCAACAAATATTGTTTGATTGCCTGTTGTTTTCTAGGGACTATACCAGGCCCTTGGGGTACAGTGATAGAAAAAAGATATGTCAGAGAAATGGGTAATCGTAAAAGACATAAAATTTCAATGTAGCCGTTATGAAGTAGAAGATAGTGTAAGAACTGATACTGGGAAGATTTGATTTGGTCAGGGGGGGTCAGCAGATGGTTGTTGGTGAAATGAGTCTGAAGTATGAACATGTCAAGCAAGGCAGTGAATATGTAATTTCCTTTGTCAGGACAGCAGGGTAGCAAGCATGGAGACAGAACTGGGAAGGAAGCAGTAGCCAGGTGTTAAACGTCTATTTCAAGCTTTGCTCTGTCCTGACACTAGCTGGAAACTATGGGATATTTCCTGTTCTTTGTTTGGTTTTGGAATGCTGTGTGTCATGTCATGTTGGTTTTAGAAGGACTTTTCTAGTTGCAGTTTTGGAGAATGAGTTTGGGTAGAGTTCTGGGGACTCCACAGAGACAGTTAAGAAGATAATTGCAGCACCTAAGAAATACATATTGGTTACCTAGGCTCATGGTAGACTCAGGAGAAGTGAAAGCATTAGGACCGAGTGCAGTGTCTATGCTTATAATTCAGTACTCAGAAGACCAAGGCAGGATGACAGACATCGGCGCAAGCTTAGAGAGTACAGCCTGGACTACCATGTGCGACCTCAGCACCAATAGAACAAACAGGAAAAATGTAGACGCATTGGGAAAGTAGGCGATAAAAGTCCACGGGGCTTGGTGATGGATTGTTATGGGAGAGGGATATCAAGGGTAACTCCTAGTTTTCTGACTTCCATGGCCAAGTGAATGAATGATGTTGCAAGACCAGATTAGAGGTGGAGCAGGTTGGGAGGATAAAAGTCACAAGTTTAGTCTAAATTCTCTTTGAAATGTTCAAGAGGAGACGGCAGGAATGTGTTTGGCTAGTGCAGGTGTGGACCAGAGTGTTCTGACCTGGTGATATAAATTTGAGTTGACAGCATAAAGTTGGTTATTGGTGGTGTAAATTTTATCACCTAGGAATGGGAAGATTGAGAGGAGAAGCCCTGAATGTAGAATAATTTAACCATTTAACGGCTGAATAGGAAGGCAGACTAGCAGAAGAGGAGAAGGAATCGCTAGAGAAACAGAGAAAATAGAAGGTTGCCATAGCCACGACCTCACACCAGCTGCTGCTGTGTTGTTTGCTAAGGGGAGGCCCGTTCGGGTTTTGTGAAGTGGAGACATTGACACCGAGAACTGTTTGGGAGAGCTGGGGCCAGAGCCATTGCTGCTCATGCAAGGAAAGGCTCAGAAATCTGAGACCTGGGAGGGAATGACCAGCAGAGAGTGAGGAGACTTTGTTTGATGACAATTTTGGACGCAGTTACAGTTGTGTGCCTGTGTCTGTGGCCTTGCAGTGCTCAGTTTCAGTTACCCACAGTCAGCCAAGGTCAGAATATTATGTGGAAAATTCCAAAAATAAGCAACTGGTAAGTCTTAAGTTTCACACTGCTGTATGAACAGTATGACGCAATTTCGTATCATCTCACTGTGGTCCACCCAAGCTGCAAATGATTCCAGTGTATCCATGCTGCATACCCTAGCTGCCCACTGCTTAGTAGCTGCATACATTACCAAATTAAATGTACAGTATTACATTTTGTTCAAAGAAACCTTATTATATTTAATGATTGTACAAATACAATAGAAATGATGTTAGCAGTTTTTTTCCAGCACATTGTTATAAATGTATTATTTATTTTTACAGTGCTAAGCATGCTGTACAACTAATCTATCACTGAGCCACCTCCAGCCCTGTTCTATTATTAGCTATTGTGAGTTTCTTGCTGTACCTAACTTATAAATCCAACTTTGTCATAGATTATAGATTTAGAATAAGCAGACTGTGTTCAGGGTTTGGTACAGGAGTTGGTTCTCTCCTTCTACCATGTGGGTCCTGGGGATTGAACTCAGGTCTTCAGGCTTGGCAGCAAGTCACTGTATGTGCTTACCCTTCTCTCCAGCCCTGAAGTTTTACTTACTTGAAATTCTGTTATTTTTGAGATACCCAAATCTCAATCAGTGGCACCCAAGAAGGGTGTAAGCACAAAATCAGTCTATCTGCAAAGAAACAAGAGATGACTCGTTAAACTTCTCTTGAGAGTTTATACTTATTTTGAATTTGCTACCAAAGAGTATTTATTCTTCATATTCTTTTTCAGAAGCAAAACCAGAGTTGGGCATGGTGGTGCATGCCTTTAATCCCAGCACTGAGGAGGTAGAGGCAGGCAGACTTCTAAGTTTTAGGCCAGCCTGGTCTACAGAGCATGTTCTAGGACAGCCAGGGCTACCCCGAGAAACTCTGTCTCAAGAAAACAATAAAACCAAAACTCAAGAATGCTCTCGAAGCTGAGGATGTGGCTCAATTGGTAGAGCACTTCTTGCCTAGCATGGATGAAACCCTGGGTTCAGTCCCCAGCACTGCATAAAACTGAGCATAATGATGTACTCCTGAAAGTCCAGACCAGGGCTGGGAAGTAGAGGTGGAGTCCCCCTCAGCTAAGTAGCAAGATCAAGGCCAGCCTGGGCTACATCATGAGTCCCTGCCTAAAACACAGTTGAATCCATTTCTTGGAACCAAATGTGAGTCATAAATATGTAACCTGTTCCTGAATTGACTTATTTTTATTTTGCTTGCTTGGTTTTTTTGGGGTGGTGATGGTGGTGTTGTTTTCGTTTGGTTTTTTGGTTTTTTTGAGACTGGGTTTCTTTCTCTGTGTAGCCCTGGGTGTCCTGGAACTCACTCTGTAGACCAGGCTGGCCTTGAACTCAGAGATCACATGCCTCTGCCTCCTAAGTGCTGGGATTAAAGGCATATGCCACCACCTCCCTGCATTTTGTTTTTTATGGCAGGTTTTTATTGTGTAGCCTCAGCTGGTCTGAAACTCTCTATGTAGACTAGGCTGTCTTTGAACTCACATAGATCCTTGTTCCTCCTGAGTGCCAGGCTAAAAGATGAAAGATGTGTGCCATGATCCCCCCAACTTGATAATGACATTTTTATTGGACACATGTCATATGTTGGCATTTTAGGTTAGTTATATATTTCTGCCTACTAGGATACATTTGTTCAGTTATGATATTCTAAAGACTAAATGTATTTACTATTAAGTAAAATTGTATTTTATGTACTAAGACTATAACATGAAAATATCTGTTACAGAACTTGTATTCTTTCCTGTTGGAATATCAAAAACAAGTCTTTTATGTAAATGAATTGTCTTCTGTATTTTGCTTCATTCAAGAAATAAAAAGTTCATAAGCATCATATAGACCTGGGAAAGATAAGCCGCTCTCCCAGTCAGTACAGGTTGGATTTCAGAGTGTTCCTGAGTTTGGAAATTTGTGTTGGTCATTAAGGCCACTCCTTTGCAGAGTCTGGTTGGTTCCATTGTTTTGCCCAATGCCAGATGTTCAGTATTAATCAGAAACAGCTGCCACTCTTGCTAGCCTCGAAGAAGGTTAATAGTCTACATGGGGGACACTCCTGTGTTATACTTGCTGTCAGAAGTCTGCTTTGGGGCCAGGGGAGGTTCAGTCTGTAAAGAGTTTGCCTCACAAGCAACAGAACCTGGATTCAAGGCCCAGAAAAGCTCTGGGTGTGTGTGCGTGTGCGTGCGCGTGTGCTCGAAAGATCAAAGAACAATGTATAAGTATATGAAGTTCTCAAAGAGTGATAAAAACTTTAAAGATACTATGTTAGAATATGGGTAAGGAAATAAGGAAACAAAATCCCAAATCCACATCCTTTGTCTGTTCTTCAAATTTAAATACATTCTAATATATTCATAAAAAAATCTTTAAATATATTTAAAGAGAACAAATTAAAACAAAGTATACGGCACTTATTCATGTAGCTGCCATGATAAAATACTTTGTTTTCTAAGCTAAAAATAATTAATATAGTTAAATAGTTAATTAAGAATTATTTAAAAAGCTGGGTGTACTGGCATATGCTTATAATCTTAGTGCTTGAGAGGCACAGAGCCAAGTGGATCCCTGGGGCACACAAGCCAGCAAGACTAGTTTTTGATGGGATCCAAGCTAGTGAGAGCCCCCCTCAGAAAAGATGGGTGGTTTAAGAAATGACGCTTGAGATTGGACACACACAGGAAAAAAAGAAAGTCTGTTTGTGGGGTGTGGGGGGGGGTGTGTTGCTTAATTGGCAGAATGTTTGCATATGAGGCAGGAGGATCAGAAGTTGAGTGCCACCTTTAACTGTATAGAAAGTCTGCAGCCAGCCTGAGATACAGTGAATCTTGTCTCAAAAATACAAAGTCAATTGTCTTTTAAGTCTAAGTCTTAGGCTTTCATGCTGTGCATTTGATGGGATCTCCCCTGGCTTCATTTCTGTAGCTATGAGAAAATACACTGGCAAAAAGCAATTTCGGGAAGAAAGTTTTCTTTAACTCACAACTCCAGATTAAATTCATTACTGAGAAGAAGTCAGGCAGAAATGTGAAGAAGCTAGTCGCATCATACCCATAATCTAGAGAAGAGAGATGAACAGGGCTTCCCATCCACTTGGCTTGCTTTGTCTGCTCTTTCAGTTTAGGCCACAAACCCAGGGCATGTTGCCTCATACTTTTAGGCAACTTAATCAAAACAGTCCTCTACATACATGCCCACAGGCCAGCCTGCTCTAGATAGTGTGTCCTCTATGATTTACCTTGTGCCAACTTGACAGGTAAAACTGTCACCGTAACATAGAAAAATGTTTAATCTTGTAATAGAAATAGAAAAAGACATTTTCTATTTATCAAACTCAAGAGAAGAGCTTTTGTTATAGTATGATTAATAACAATAAGTTTCAATCTATTGGTTAAAATAACACAAACACAGCTTTTAAAAGCTGTAATAGCTGGGTGTTGGTGGTACACGCCTTTAATCTCACTTGGGAGGCAGAGGCAGGCGGATCTCTTTGAGTTCAAGGCCAGCCTGGTTTACAGAGCAAGTTCCAGGATAGGCTCCAAAGCAATACAGAGAAACCCAGTCTCGAAAAACCAGAACATAAAAATAAAAGCTGCAATAATGTCATGGAAAGTTGTCCTGCCCCCGGGATTTCCCTGTAGGGTTGACTTCCAAACCCTCTGCTCTGTGTTTGTACTTGAAAGTCTGAAGCCCTGCTCTGAAAAGTGAGGCTTGTAGGGGGTGGAAAGATGGCCCGGTGGTTAACAGCCATTCAGCTTGTCAAGAATTCTATCTCCAGCACCCCTATCAGGTGCCTCCCAGCTCCTATGTGACCCCACCTCCAAGGGAATGGATGTAACACCCGTGTCTTCTATGGCACACGCGCGCGCGCGCGCGCGCGCGCACACACACACACACGCACACACACACACACACACACACAGAACTACTCATAGTTCAAATACTTTAATTTTTGTGAGATTCCACGGAGGTGCTGGAAACCAAACCCAGGTCTTCTGGGTGAGAAACAAGTGTTCTTAACTGCTGAGCCATCTCTCTGACCCCCCCCCATTTTTTTTTTTTTTTTAATGTGAGACCATTAGGCAAGATCACCTGAGAGTTAGTTAGAATTGTAGAAACTTGTACCCCATTGTTGACCTCCTGACCAGAGTCAGCATTTGAGCATGTTTCCAGGTGACAGGTTCACCTAGGACAGCTTGGGAACCAGCTACAGTTGCAGCCTGTGAGTAGACACAGTGAGGTCTGTTTCTCTGCAGCCAGGGAAGTAATGCTTTTTACATCCTTACATGGTTAGGAAAAAACAAGGGAAGACTTCTTGACATAGCCACATCATATGCCGTTACTTCAGTGTCCATAAATAAAGTTTTATTGGAACATAGCTATAGTGGCACAGATTGTGGCTGCTTTGGCTCAAGACGAATAGTCATGACAGAATCCATGTGGCCTAAAAGAGCATAAAATATTTCTTTTCTGCCTTTTTGTAAAAAAAAAAAAACCAAAAGTTCTGGACTTTGATCTAAAGTGTACAAGTATGCCATTTTTGAGTTTGAGAGTGGTTTGCAAATCAAGAGTCACTGCCTATAATGTATACAGTGCATTAGTTAATAATTCTTCATTGTAGTAAAGTTGAATTAATATAGCCAAGTCTGTATTGAATAAGTTGAATATGTTTAAAAATTTAACCTTCCTTTCTAAATGAAATATTGATGAATTAAGGGGTTTTCACCAGGGGTGAATTTGTTAATTTACTGATAATTTCAAGTTATAATTGAGTTGGGTGTGATAGCACAACAACTTTAATCCCAACACTTGGGAGACAGAGATGGCTCTCTGTGAATTCAAGACCAGCCCGGTCTATACAGCCACTTAGGGCTGTATAGCAAGACCCTGTCTCAAAAAAAAAAAAAAAAAAAAAAAAAAAAAACTATGATTATATCTACTCAGTATATCTTATGTTTTTGCTATTGAGTGGGTTGGATACAACTTTTTCTTCCTCCAACCTTATGGGTTTTTTTTTTTTTTTTAATCTTGAGCTTGGAAACCCAGTAATTGTGGATGGTTTTATAGGTGGAAATCTGCTAGTCTTGGTGGATCAGCACGCTGCCCATGAGCGAGTTCGTTTGGAGCAGCTTATTTCTGGTAAGCATCTGTCTGCAACTGCACATTTCAGGCTCCCAGCACAGTTAATATGCTGAAAAGAGTTTCCTCATGTGCCTTGTAAGGAAGGATGCACGTTTGAAAAATTAGGCTGAAATCATCCAGTCTGAAAACCCACTGAGAGCCTGCAGTAGTTTGCTCTGCTAATCCAAACATGTGGGTCTGGTAGACTTGATCACGGGCGTATTTGCTGTATATTTATTCTCCTCCCAGACCTGCAGAAGGGCTGGCTGGGCTGGTTCACTCTGACTCCCAGCACACAGGTATGCTCTCCAGTGCCTGTGGACTCTCACGGGGCCTTCCCCGTAACCCAGAGTCCCATAAAGTACTTTTATTTTAAAATCTCGTTGATTTGGGCACAGGTAGTGGGAATAGATTGATCTCATTGTAAAAGATACAAACGGAAATAGAACAAAGCATCCCTTACACCTTGTCTTTCACTGTATTTCTTTTCTCACGGGCAGCTGGTATTGTACAGTTTAAATGTATCTTTTCAAAATGACTGTGCTTTTTTGATTTGTTTGTTTGGTTGGTTTGGTTGGTCCAGGTAGATGTTTCATGAACTGGAATAGCAATGATATCACTGCTATTTTCTTTGCCCTTATAAAGTGAAGTCCCCCACCCCCACTCCTTTAAGTGTATTTTGCCAGGTGATGTTGGTGTATGCCTTTGATCCCAGCGCACAAGGGGCCAGAGGCAGGTGGAGCTGTGAATTTGAGCCTAGCCTGGGCAAAGCTGTTAGAAACCCTGTCTCAAAAAACAAATGAAGGCCCAAGGGTTTGGAAAGATACAGTCAAAACAAAGGGAGAAAAATTACTTACTTTGAGTGAGATTTAAATTTAAAACCCCCACCCTCCCTTGTTCATTTTGGTGGGTGAAATACAGTGGTTTGTGAAATGTGTAGGTTGTGTCTCTGGTCAGCAGTTTCCAGCAGCTGGAGGGTGGTTGCCAAGTCTTGTTTGGCAGCTGGCAAAGCAAGCTTTATGTTCAGGTCACTAAATAGCGAGCATGTTTGTTGCTCAAGTGTCTTGATTTTGTGGTGACTTTTCACAAACCTGTCTTCACGATGAGCACATGTGAAGCTGGCGGAGACTAAGAGCTTTCAACTTTAGATCTTAGAGTTACAGACAGTTGTGAGCTGCCATGTGGGTGCTGTGGATTGAACCCAGGTCCTCTGGAAGAGCAGTTTTAACTGCTGAGCCATCTCCCCAGCCCAGAGCTCTGGGCTTTAAGAAAAGTGATGATCACAAGAAATGAACTGACTATGCAACATCGTGAGATTTTTGCATAAAAGAATTGTCAGGAAGAAAGGGAGATCAGAAGGCTTGATCTTTCCATGGCTTATCCAAGACCATAACAGTTATTAAAGCTTTTGGCTGTGGTGTGTAGCAGTTAAGGATTGTAGCCAAGAATCTCAGGCTAAGGATGTCATCAAAGAAAAGTTGAAATGCAAGAAATGAACAAGTAAAATATTTGGCTCTTTAGAAAGGAACTTTTGGGTCAGTGAGATAGCTTAGCTAGCAAAACACTTGCCATGCAAGCCTGACAAGCTGAGTGAGTTTAGTCCCGTCTCCCACATGAAGGTGGAAGGAGAGAACTAACTCCCAAAGGTGTCCTCTGATCTCCATGTGTGGGCCGTGGCTTGTGTGTAGCTCCCTGCCATACACCTACATCACACCACACACACCACACACACACATACCATACACACACACACCATACATACACACACACACACACATATACACACACCACACACTCACTCACACACACACACACACACACACACACACCAATCAATGATAGGGGACTGGAGAGAGAGCTCAGAAGTTAAAGCACTGGCTGCTCTTGCAGAGGATCCAGGTTCAATTCCCAGCACCAACATGACAGCTCCCAGTTGTCTGTAACTCCAGATCCACAGGGTTCAATGCTCTCTGCTGGCCTCTGTGGGCACTTGGCACACACATGGTACACAGACATACATTTGGGCAAAACACACATACACATAAGTATTTTTAAATTACTTAATTACTATATAGAGCCTGCACCATTTGAGAATAATACTGGCAAATTCTTTTCAGAGACCGAGAAACCTTTCTGAAGGAACCAAGAAGCCCTCTTGACTTGACTTACAGACATTATGCCACATGTGTATCTTTGTATTGCTACCACACATATTAACTATAGGAACAGTGCCTTGTTCATCGGCATATAAGAATTTAGTCTTCTCTTTCTTATTTTGAAAAACGGATAAAATGAGTCAAATGTCTGGCTTTTCCTTAGTCTACTACTAGAATCCAAATTGTAGACCTGAACACTGAACACACTGCTTAGTTCAAGAGAACTTTTACCATGGCCATGCCTCACCCAGCATCCTTTGACTGAATGTAACCATCTTCCCTTCTTACTCCTCTCATTCATCTCTCTTCCAATAGACTCCTATGAGAAGCAGCCTCCACAAAGCTCTGGTCGGAAGAAGTTACTGTCTTCCATGATAATTCCTCCTCTAGCCATCACGGTACCAAAGGAGCAAAGGGGACTCTTGAGGTTAGTAACACCTCGAGGACACAATGCTGGTAGTATAAAGCTTTACGATAACTTGTTCCATCTTTTTCAGAAAAGGAAGCAGACAAAGGTGGTGAGTGGCTTCTCGAGGTCTTGACAGCCGTGGAGAGGCCCTCGAAGCCTGTCTTCTGACCCCAGATGTCATTCTTCCACTATAGCATGGCTGTAGAGTAGAGGGTAGAATTTCCCTGATCATTTGTTCCAGCAGTTGGCTTAGAACACTTCTTATTTCTTGGAACAGCCAAGTGTTTATGCTGTACTGTTTCTGAGAGCAAAGTTAGGGTAGTAATTGCTTCCATTCTTGTGTCTTGGTTCATTCTAGATTCTTCATTACCATAATCTTATTAGGGAGAAGCCAAATACTGTGAAGCCAGGGTGGGGCAAGTCCTGGATAGGTCATTTTCCCGCACCTGGGCGGGGTCAGTCATTGAAAATGAAAAGGGTTGGATGTTCACTGCTGCCAATACAGCTTTCTCCCCTAGAGCATCACTTACTTGTTCACTGACATCAGCACACCCCCAGTTGGACGTCTTAGTTCTTGGGGCTGTTGATTACCTCTCTCTTTTATGATTCAGAACATTTTCAGAGGTCTCTTTGAGCCAAATTTCTTTAAATGCAAGCAGTAAGTTAGTTCTTTAGTGGAGAATGAAAACTTAGGAGTAATATTTGGGAGCAAATTGGTTCTCTCAATAAAAAGGCAGAAGGAAAAAAGGTTACTATTACAATAGTTCTCCCTCTCATGTGTGGATGTATTACCGGACCTCAGCAGATGCCTGAAAACGGCACTCCCGAGCCCTGAGTATGATTGTTTTCCCTGTAGATTACCACCTTATGCCATAGTTAATCTGCATGTCCTGTAGCAATGCCCCATTGTTCCATGGTCCGTCTGTCTTCCTTACTTCATGCTCTGCTGTCTTCTTTGCATGCCGCTAATGTGTTTTGGGGACATTATGGAATAAAATAAGGGTTACTTGAGCATAAAAACTGCAGTACTAGGTGGGAGAGATGGTTCAGTGCTTAAGAGTACTATCTGCTGTAGCAGAGGACCCAGGTTTGGGTCCTAGTGACCACATGAAGTCTCACAACCGACTGTAACTCCAGTACCAGAGGATCCCATGCCCACTTCTAGACTCTACAGGTGCCAGGCGAGCATGTGGTGTACATACATGCAGGCTAATATGCATATACACGAGATACAAATGTAATAAATAAACCTTTTCTAAAAATTGACACGGGGTAGTCATCTGATAACTAAGTGATTAGCAGGTGTGTGGCGTACACAGTGGGTATGCTGGACAACAGGACGCCTCAGGGGACAGCTTGAGATAGTATCGGACTTCTCAGAGCAGCGTGCCATTTACATTTTGTGGCTGGGGATGCATATGCTTAGCATGTGCAAGGCCCCAATTCAGTCCCCAAAGTAGAGAGATAAAAAAAAGTTTACTTCTGGAATTTTCCATTTACTCTTTTGGATCACGGTCAACCACAAGTAACTGAATTCTTAGAAAGTGTAACTGTGAATGAGAATTACTGTAATTGAAAAGGAAATCTGATAATAAAATCCTAAACACATATAAGCGTAAGGAAAACAATACAACTTCCAAAGGTCGTGGGCGCTTTTGAAAACTCTCAAGCTTTCTGAGCCAGCGCTGAAGCGGTGAAGTCATGCATTTGCATCTGGGACTGTCTCCTTAGGTCTTACCACAAACATTTAGAAGATCTGGGGCTGCAATTGATCTTTCCAGATGCTAGTGATTCTTTGATCCTTGTGGGAAAAGTGCCACTCTGCTTTGTAGAAAGAGAAGCCAGCGAACTTCGAAGAGGAAGATGTACTGTGGCTAAGAGTATTGTGGAGGTGAGATACCTCTCCCCGTGCCTGGGAAGGAGCTGGAAGCCACTAATTCAGTGTCCCATCTTTAGTCAACACACGCTTGTGCTACGGTCAGTGTGCCGGGTGCTAGACATTTAAAGATGAATTCGCCCCCGTAAAGAGGAGGGAAAGAGTTATAGTACAGCGAGATGCGGAGGGTAGAGGTGTGTGTGCTTAGAAGTGTTTTAGAGAGCTATCAGTGTGGCACCTGTTGATCATCTCAGCACTCAGAGGCAAAGGAGTAAGCAGTTTAAAGCTAACTAGGGTTTCACAGTGAGATGCTGTCCCAAATGGAGGTGGGGGTGGAGAGATGACTTAGAAGTTAAGAGCACTTGCTGCTCTTGTAGAGGACCCAGGTTCTGTTCCCAGCACCTACGTGCTGACTCACAACATCCCACCCTGCCTGTTGGTGACGGCCTTGGTTGGCTCTGACCCTGCCTTCAGCAGATGTCTTTTCTGCTCACACAGCTCCTTTCTCCTCAGACTCCTGCTCTAGATTTGGAGTCAAATTTGGATTCAAATTGTGTCAAATCCAAAAGATGGGATCTTCTAGAACTTTACTGTAATTCAATACCTAAAGTTTTAACCAGAAAATTACAATAAAAACTCCCTGAAGTGACTTCAAAGACTACTTCAAAGTTTACTTGAAATTGAAACAAAGTTTCAGGAAATCTGATTACATTAAGTCAGGCTGACTGCAGGATTTGTTGATTTGGGAAAACGTTGGAGCAGCTCGGCGTTGAGGACTTTTTGAATCCTAGCAATCAACAGTCATGGCTGCATTTCTTTTTTCTGAGACAGCGTTTCCCTGTGTAGCCCTGGCTGCTCTGGAACTCCCTCTGTAGGCCAGGCTGGCCCCTGAGCGTTTGCCACCATCGTGGTCCAGCTCATTGATACATATCGATACATTCTTAACAGTTTGTGTTCCAACTTGATGTCTGAACTGTTTTGTTTTTTTTTTTTTTTTTTTTGGTTTTTCAAAACAGGGCTTTCTTTGTATCACTTTGAGCCTGTCCTGGCACTAGCGCTGTACACCAGGCTGGCCTCGAACTCACTGAGATTCACCTGCCTCTGCCTCTACCTCCAGAGTGCAGGGATTAAAGGTGTGTGCCACCACCACTCAGCCCCACATTAGCTGCTCTTTGTATGTGCTAAATGTTAACTCTTCCATTGGTGGCGAAGATTTTCCCTCGCACTGTAGGCTTTCTGTGCCCCCTGTTGTGCAGACACTTTTTGATTTCATGTCATCACGTTTCTCAGTTTTTGGGGACGGTTTCCTGTGTCACTGATGGTTTTAAATGCTAAAAGAGCAAGCACAGTAGAACAGTGCATTCATGCCTGTCTTCCTTTGGCTTTATAGGAATTTATTCGAGAACAAGTGGAGGTAAGCTTTTCTCTTATTTAATGGTGTCACACCTAAGTGCTACACACAAACGGCTTCATTATCTCACTTTCTTTTTATTAATAATGTAGCTGCTCCAGACCACAGGAGGCGTCCAGGGGACATTGCCACTGACAGTCCAGAAGGTGCTGGCCTCCCAGGCCTGCCACGGTAAGAGGGTGCACATCAGCTCCAGTCCTGACACTGGCAGAGAGAGGAACAGTGACTGTAGAGGAGGCAAAATGCAGATATCTGAGAACCTTTTACAGAGTAATTTAGGTCAGGCAACCGAATCTACGTTAAAAATTACCTTCTCAGAGTAAATCCCAGCATGGATGCAGACTGACTGACAAAGCCAAGGTGTGGGCCCTAAAGGGGGTGCTGGGATTCAGGCCCAGAGAGCCTAGGGCTCGACACAGAGTGAGGAAGCAGCCTTGGCAGAACCACAAAAGCCAGGAGTAAATTCCTCTCCTGAGGAGCAGCCAAGAGTATGGAGAAGTTAGGCTGCAAATAAAGACCAGACGCTTTGAAGGTTCCAGGGAAACCTTTAGAGCTGATCCAGAAGCATTAGATCTGGCGGGGTCTTGAGTAAGGGATGTGATGAGTGGTCCAGAAGCATTAGATCTGGCGGGGTCTTGAGTAAGGGATGTGATGAGTGGTCCAGAAGCATTAGATCTGGTGGGGTCTTGAGTAAGGGATGTGATGAGCTGGTCCAGAAGCATTAGATCTGGCGGGGTCTTGAGAAAGGGATGTGATGAGTGGACATAGCATCACAGACCTCACACTAGGGAAGTGTCAGCTTTGCAGCCTCCCCCCCCCCCCCAGTGGCTGTTACTTGACCCACTGACCCCTGAGTTTTATTCCAGTCCTTTCAGTCTCCACACGTCTGCCTACCCCCGCTTAGCTGCAGGTATCTCATTCTTTGCCCTTTTGCCCAGCTCTTATGCCCTACATCACCAGATTGCATCATGGCTGTCTCCACTGCCTCTCTCCTTGCCCCCACCCCTCACATCCCTCCCAGCCATGGTCAAGCAATTGTTCCTCAGCACCCACAGGAGTCCTCGCTATGATCTTGCTTTGTACTCTAGGCTGTCCTAAAACTACTTATGTAGAGTAAGCCAAACTCCAACTTGTAGCAATCCTCCTGCCTCAGCCTCCCAAGTGCTGGAATTACATATGTGTGCTACCATGCCCAGCCAGGTAGATCTTTCTGAAATATGCCTTTCAGTCTGTCATTCTCTTATCTTGAATATACATTAACATTTTTACTAATATTCTTGTTATAAAAGTATTTTATATATGTATGCATTTACTTACATATTTATTTTTGGCTTAAGACAGGGTTTCTCTGTGGAACAGCTCTGGCTGTCCTGGAACTCACTCTGTAGATCAGGCTGGCCTTGAACTCACAGTGATCTACCTGCCTCTGCCTCCTGAGTGCTGGGATTAAAGGCTAGCATCACCACTGCCCAACTATGTATGTATTATTTATTTATTTATTGTTTATTTGTTTGTTTGTTTGTTTGAGATAAAGTTTCTGATTGCCCAGGCTGGTCTCTTAATATGTAGCTGGAGATAATCTTAAACTCTGGATCCTCCTGTCTCTATCTCCAAAGCTCTAGGATCACCGGCATCTTCTACCATACTTGCCAAAAGCCATAGCCTACAGCTTACTGAGGTCTCCATATGTTGACCCCTGCCTCTCTCTGGAGTTTCAGCACGTCACACTGCATTGTGCTCTTTCCGCCTCCATCCCTCTTTGTTCTTGTCCCTTCTGTGTCCTGGCTCCCTTACAGGGGCCTTTCCTGAACTGGAAATACCTTTTTGCTCCTTCTCCAATAGATCGTGTCTTCTAACTCAAGCGCCTCAGCTGAAGTATTTTACCATTCCCTGGCCTCCTAAATCCGGTTGGCCTTGCATTACATATTCCTGCCTGTGTTTCAGGGCACTGATAATTTAAATTACTCCGTAGCAACTTGTCTCGTGTTGTCTTACCATGTTGTCATTCACTGTCTGAAAGGCTCCCAATACAAAGCAGACATTCGATAGACTGTGACTGATCTTAGAATAAAGGTGAGTTATAATGTGAGGTTTAGAGTAGGAAGACAGTTATGAAAATCAAGAAAAAGGGAAAATAAAATAAACATAAGAAAACCTTCGTGGACAGAAGGAAACTAGAACTTACAAACTCATTACTATTCTCATGTCTTTGAAGAAAAAGCCCAAAAGGAAGGTCCTAACAAGTTAAGGGATGTCTCCCGAGAGGTCAGAGGGACAAACTCTATATGGGAGCTGAGACGGCAGGGCAGTCCTGAAGGCTTAGTCCATTCCATGACCTCAGGTGCCAGTTAAGCAGTATTAAGGCCAAACTAAAGAAATGTGTTACTCTGTCCAGATTCAGAGCTCTGACCCGAGGTTGACATTGGTTCTCACCATGCACACTGTGACTTTTGGTGTCTCTCTCATTTAGGGGCCATTAAGTTTAACGATTGCCTGAGCCTAGAGGAGAGCTCTCGCCTCATCGAAGCTCTGTCCCTGTGCCAGCTGCCATTCCAGTGTGCTCATGGGAGACCTTCAATGCTGCCCTTAGCTGACCTGGACCACGTGGAGCAGGAAACGCAGGTGCAGTAATGACCCTGTGCTAGTTTGCTTTCTGTTGCTGTGATAAAACCAACCTAAACATAGTTGGTGGAGGAAAGGGTTTATTTGGCTTATACATCCCAATTACAATTCAGGAACTCAAGCAGGATAGGAACCCGGAGGCAGGAACTGAAGCAGAGGCCAGGAGGGTGCTGCCACAGGCTTGCTCTCCATGGCTCATTCAGCGTGCTTTCTCACACTACCCAGGACCATCTTCCCAAGGGTGGCACTACCCACAGTGAGCTAGACCCTCCCACACCAATTGTCAATCAAGAAAATGCCTTACAGACTTGCCTGCTGGCCAAGATGATGGAGGTATTTTCTCAAATGAGGGTTCTCTTTTCTCAGGAGACTCCAGCTTATGTAAAGTTGACAAAAACCAACCCACACAAACATAGAGAATCAGGAAGGAGCAAAGTTTATCTTTTCTTTCTTTTCCAGCCTCTATTCATTGTAATCCTTCTCCTTTAAAAGTTTTATTTTTATTTTATTTGCCTTGATGTTTTGCCTGTATGTATGTCCATATGAGGGTGTCCAATCTTGGAGAGACAGACAGTTGTTAGCTGCCATTTGGGTGCTGGGAATTGAACCTGCATCCTCTGGAAGTGCAGTCAGTGAGTGCCCTTAACCACTGAGCCATCTCTCCAACCCCCTGTAATCCTTCATTATTCTCCTCAAAACAGGAGCGTTTAAAAAAAAAAAAAAAACACGCATTGGAAGTTTTATTTAAGGCTTAAGGCCACAACATACACTTGAGCTTTTATTTATTTATTTGGTTTTTCGAGACAGGGTTTCTCTGTAGGTTTAGAGACTGTCCTGGAACTCTCTTTGAAGACCAGGCTGCCTCTGCCTCCCGAGTGTTGGGATTAAAGGCGGGTACTACCAGTGCCTGGCCAGTTGATCTTTTAGTTCGCATTTGATTGAAATGAATCTTAGACTAAAGTGCCAGATCATCTCCATGATGGTTTCCTGGGTTTTTATTTAGTTTTGTTTGTTGTTGGTTTTTTGTTTGGTTTGGTTTGGTTGGTTGGTTGGTTGGGGTTTTTGAGACAGGTTTTCTCTGTGTAGCCCTAGGCTGTCCTGCAACACACTCTGTAGACCAGGCTGGCCTTGAACTCACAAAGACCCATCTGCCTCTGCCTCCCAATTTCTGGGACTAAAGGTGTGTGCCACCACTGCCTGGCCTGGTTTGAAACTTCATATTGCACATACATCCTGAACATCAGTTGCCTGCCAGCTCCAGCAATTTGAACTGAGAACTGTCAGTACATAGCCGAGACACCCTGTCCCTTGCAGGTGTGGCTGGGATGGAGACAGCAGTTGGAGATGGCTGTCTCAAACCATCTCTTGCGTTCATCATTTAGCAGGGAGCCAGACTTTGGCTGCCTCTCCTGTGCCATGGCTCTGATCTGTTGTGTGAGCAGCACATGAGCAATGACATGGGTAATGCTTCAATTACGAATGCTTTCTATCCTCGTTCTAATCCAGTTTTCTTTTCTTTATGTGCATGGGTGTCTTGCCTTCGTGTGTGCTTATGCACTGTGTGTGTGCATGGCACCCACGGAGGCAAGAAGAGGGTGTCGGATCTCCTGGAACTGGAGTTACATAATTGTGAACCACCCTGTGGTTGTTGGTAATTAAACCCATGTGCTCTGGAAGAGTGTCAATATTCTTAACCCAGGAGCCATCTCTCCGGCCTTCCGTCACGATCTTAAATGAAACTGAAATGCATGTGTGCACGGGACTCTACTGCTTTCCGGAACCCTTTCTTTCTTTTGCTTCTCTTTCTCGCTAATGACAGTAAAGGTTTTCTTGCATGGAGATTTCGTGTACTATTCCCTGGCTTATCCAATTGATTTTACTCCACTAAAACTCTTTATTTTATGGGGTTGGAAAGATGGCTCAGTGGTTAAGAGCACTGGCTGCACTTCCAGAGGATCCAGGTTTGATTTGCAGCACCCACAGAGAGGCTTACAATTGTCAACAACTTTGATTTCAAGCGCACTGACGCCTTCTGGATTTCAAGCGCACTGATGCACAAGGCATGCACATACATGTTGCGCAGACATACATACAGGCAAAACAGCCCCACTACTCCTCCACAAAACCCCACCTTCAACAAATCCCTATCCCCACTACTGAGGAGAAAAGAATCCAGACTTACAGTTTAACTCTGAGGAACACTATCATCTTTTCTGAGTCCAGAAAGGAGAAGTCTAAACACATTTGGGGAGCCATACTTTGAAATACTTATAAATAAATCTTTTATGTCACGCTTTTCCTATTGTTAGTTCCTCTCTTTGTTCACATAGGTTAAACCCAATATTGCTAAACTTCGCAAAATGGCCCGTGCCTGGCATCTCTTTGGAAAAGCGGAAGGCCGTGATAACAAGGCAGAGCCGGCCACAGTCCATGCCTCCTGTGAACCACCATGAACACAGTTTGGGATCTGTGAGGAGTCGGGGGAGTGGTATGCCTCCAAGCCGAGCATGCGCAGCACAGACCACTCCAGCTGTGAGTGGGTCAGCCTGGCCTGAGTGGTCAGCATATCAGTCTCCTGGAGCAGATGCACTCAAGCCATTCCTCTGCATCCATGGACACAGGGGTTTACCATATAACACCTGTCTTTTGTGAACTGATTTAGTGATAAAATGGTAATGACTTTCTAAGTGATAGGTTGGCTTATGTTTGAGAATGGTGACGGTTGATTTTGAGCAGTTTCTCCAGGCTCTCCATTTTACATGTGTGAGAGGATGCTAAATGTTAAGGGTTGGTCTGCTTTCCCCAAAGGCCCTGGCCCTGCGCCGCGCCCTCCTCCCCACTCATCCCTCCCTCCCGGAGTCCTCTTAGCTTCTTTACATTCTGTGCTAGGTTTATGGTGTCTGTCTGCTCTATAAAAATATTACCTGATGTCTTCCAGCAAGACTTTAGTTAAATTATTTTAGGCATTTAAAACTATTAATGGCAAGAAGAAAAAAAATTATTAATACCTGGGTGTAGTAATATATACCTGTAATCCCAGTACTTGAAAGGCTGAGGCAGAAGGCTGGCAAGGTCAATACCAATCTAGGCTATCTAACAGCAAGACCCTTTCTCACAATAAATAAACTATCAACAAAGAGAAACACAAGATAGAATAGGGAAAGTTTGAAACTTTTCTCTTTTTCAATTCTCTGTGTAGCCCTGGCTGTCCTGGACTCGCCTGTAGACCAGGCTGGCCTCAAACTCAGAGATCTGCTGCTTCTGTCTTCTAAGTGTTAGGATTAAAGGTGTGTGCCACCATCACCTGGCAAGAAAATTTACAAGGATTTTTTTTTTAAAAAATATTCTTACTGCTTTTTAAAACCAAAAATGAATGTTCATATCCTAAACCAGTAAAATGTTAAAAAAAAAAACTTATTTCTTTTTGAAAATGAATTTTGTACTTTATAAAATGTTTCTGTGAAAGTAATTACTATGTCAAAATGCAGCATTTATTTCATCCTGACCAAGTATGCTGCACACTGATGTTTGCCGACCACAGGGGTCTCTGGCCCCTTTTCTCACTGCGTGCTGGTTTTGCTTCATTATGCCTAATAGCCTTAGAATTTCATGTGTGACCAGAACTGTTCTGAAAATGCTTGTTATCCTCCTTTTAATTCATGGTTTCCCTGTCTTCAAATTATTTGTGGTTAATAAGACTCAGTTGACTAAATGATAGTGGAAGAATGCGTGTGCAAAACTTCCAGCTGGTAATGTTTACTGCAAGTGTTTCACTTGATGCTGTGTAATTACCAAGATGTCTGGAGGAGGATCTCCACCGAAGCACTTCCCGGGCATCCTGCTCACTCTGGCCTTTCTGTCAATGAAATAATTCTCTGTTTTGTTAATGCAGAAAACAAATGTGTACTCATGGGAGACAGTGTGTTTGCCAGCAGCCTTGGAGTGAACCTTAGGGATGAAAGTAATGCCTTCATGAGCATGGGCCTCAGGGCAGGCTCAAGGGGAGCCAGCACTCATTTTCCTGCCCATCCTAATAGCTTCATCATTGGAACCAGGGAGAATAGGCACTACTGTCTAAGACCGCCTTCCTCCTCAGAGCTGTACAAATGGGCGTTTCATGTACTTGAGCCTCTTGCCTATGTTCAGTGGGGAGGTGCGGCTTTGGGCCTCTGCAGCACTGTCCCAGAACAGCTGTTCTGGAATATTTTGGTGGGGAGGAAGGAGGGTAGGGAACAGAGTCCCCTGTATGGCTGTCCGCTAACTCAATGTAGCTGAGGGTGACCTTTGAACCACGGCTTTGTCTTTACCTCTCAAGGCGTGAGTCACCATGCCTGCTCTTCCAAGAATTTGAAAAACTTCTTTTATATCAGGCCAGTTAGTTCATGGGATTTCAAGAGTGATAGTGCTTCTTGACAGAATGGTGGGACAGCTTTTGGAGGGTTCCTTCTATGTGGCTGCCAACTCCTCTTTTCCCAAGAGTAGTGGAGAATTAGAAAAGGTTTTCCATGAGTTATGTCTCCCCAACTAGCCTGATTCAGGCAAGGAGATAATTATCTTCCGTTAATAATTTGTAAGCTTATTTGCATACATCAGCATAAAAACACTTATTAGACAAAAAAAAATCTAGTAATTCTTTTTATTGCCTATTGAGGTTTTATTTTATCCTTTTTTTTTTACACTCAAGGACCATAAGAACAAAGACACACTTAATTTTCTGATATATGTAAATACTTTTTAAAGCATTTATTTGTGAGTGTGCTTCTGTGTGTACACACATGGGGCCCTGGTGTGTGTGTGTGTGTGTGTGTGTGTGTGTGTGGAGGTCAGAGGGTGACTTGGGGGAGTCCGTTCTTTCTTTCCACTGGTCCAGACTTGGAAACAAGAGTCTTTACCCACTTCAGCCATCTCAGCAGCCCTGTGATAGTAATTTCTGACACTAAAATGTTACTTTAAGATTTTACTTCTTTGAGACTAGGTCTCTAGCTGCCCTAGAACGTGCTAGACCTCTAACTCACAGACATCTTCCTGCCTCTGCCTTTGGAGTGCTGGGATTAAAGGTGTGCACCACCACACCTAGTATTTCAAGGCTTATAATGGGCTGCCCCATGTTAATACAATTTTAAAGATTTATTATTTTTGTGTATGTGTGAGCTCATGTGCACCATATATATGAAGGTGCCTACAGAGGCCACAAGAAGGCATAAGACTATGAAACTGAGGTTGTAGGTGGTTGTGAACCACTACATGGGTGCTGGAAACAGAACCTGGGTCCTCTGCAAGAATAGTAAGCAATCTTAACTGCTCAACATTTCTCCAGCTCCATGTAATTTAATTTATTAGTTTGTCAACTTAGTGGTTCACCTTCATGATATGTTGTTGGTAACTTCGGAGTAAGAGTTAATGAAATGTAGCTGGGCGGAGGTGGCACTCCTAGCACTCAGGAGGCAGAGGCAGGCACATCTCTGTGAGTTCAAGTCTAGCCTGATCTACAAGAGCTAGTTCCAGGACAGGCTCCAAAGACACAAAGAAACCCTGTCCGAAAAACAAAACAAAACAAGAGTTCCATTTCAGCAATGTTCATCAACATTTACTGAGAAATAGAGGTGCGCACGGCTGCCTCTCACTTCAAGAGATCTAGAGTTAACCAAGGAGAGGGACGAGGCACCTGAGGGCAGATGTGGATCACTGAATGTCAGCCAGTGCACTTTTGCTGGGCTGAGAGGAGACAGCAGACCAACTGTGAGAATTAAGACTATAGGGAGAGGCTGGAGAGGATGCAGAACAGGTGCTCTTAGCGGAGGCTCTGGGTTTGATGACCAGCACCCACAAGATGGCTCACACCGTCTGTGACTCCAGTTCCAGAGTAGCAGACTCTATATCTGACCTCCCTGGGCACCAGGCACACAATGTATACAGACATATATACAGGCAAAACACTCATAAAATAATCTTTTTTTTTTTTTAATTTGCATTGGTGCTTTGCCGTGGTTGTCGGGTCCCCCGAAACTGGAATTAGAGAGTTATGAGCTGCCTTGTGGGTGCAGAGAATTGAACCCAGGTCCTCTGAAAAAGCAGTCAGTGCTCTTAACCACTGAGCCATCTCTCCAGCCTGCAAAATAAATAAATCTTTAAAAAAAAAAAAAAAAAAAAAAAAAAAAAAACTCTGTTTAATAATGGGAGCTAGCACCAGAAAAGCCAGAGCCGAAGCCAAGAGTAAGCTAAATGTGTGTGTGGGGGGGTGGGGGTGGGGGATACTGAAGCTCCGCCAGCACCTTCAGTGAGCTGGTGGACAGGAAGATGAAGAGCTTCTTCTAGTGGTCAGGGTTCGGGGCAACATAGTGAGAAAATCAAGGCAGAGCAGGAGGATGCCCAAGGCCAAAATTCTAGGGTCTGGGCCTGAGGAAGCCAAGGCAGGTTGAGAGCAATTGCAGCTAGGCAGTTCCCAGAAGGCCCTGGCACAGTCGCCAAGCCTCGGGAGTAGGAGCCTGGCATGCTCATCTGAAGAAGAGCTGTTCTGAAACAAAAACCCAGACTGCCTTTTTCCCTCCCATCAAAGCCCAGGATGGGGCTGGGGAGAAGGAAGGCTCAGTGTGTAAAAGCACTTACTGCGCAGGCTTGACAATGAATCCAGATCCCTGGATCCCATACAGAAGCCTGGCAGCATGTGTCTATAGTTCAGTCTGGTTAAGCTGAGTTGGGAGGTGGAGACAGAACTCCCTGAAGGCTTGCAGGCCACCTACCCCAAAAGTTACAGCTCAGACAAGAGGAGGTATGAGGACACCTAGGTGGTCCTCTGACAGCCAGCTATACATTCACCAGGGCACAGGGGTGCCTTCCCAAACATGTCACACTTACATATACATATGCAAAAATATTTTTTAAGAGAAATGGTGGTACACACCCGTAATCCCAGTCCTTGGCAGACTGAGGCAGGAGGATCATGTATTACAAAGAAACCATCACACTAAAAGGCTCACAGAGAGAACTGACTGGTACGTTTGCCACTTGTGGACTGTGAGATGGCAGGGACAGAAGGAGAGGGAGAGAAGGAAGTGTAGAGAAACTAAACTTGTGGCTATTCTGCACCAGAGACACCCTTTCCCCTTACTCCTTCTATCTGTTGAGTATTTTTAGAAAATGGATGTGAGCATTGCCTCAGTTGGGGCTAAAGAGGCCATCAAACTCTCCCCGTCTCCTCTCTCCTACTGCCCCTGTCTCCAGAGGCCAGTCCCCCCACTTTCTTCTTTTTTAGGATCCCTTTCCCTAATAATTCCCCCCCCAAAAAAGAGGTCATCTAATACCCCCCCTTTTTCAAGTCCTCAGAGCACGTCTACCTTATACCCATTCCTTAGTGTCTCCTCTGATGAAGACACCTGGCCAAAACTGGGAATGGCTTACTCACAAGCTGGAATGCCGGGCAGAAAGCCAGTACCCAGCAGCTATCTAAAGAGCTTCCGCCTCGCTTGAGGTTAGCCTTACAACTCACCTGCTTATTTCAAAAGCAAGGAATGTGCACTGACTAAAAAGCAGTTTGGAGCTAGATGCTACTGTTATCTTTTGATTTGGCTTGCATTTCTAAAAAAGAAAATACTTTACCAGGCTTGGTGATGCACACCTTTAATCCTAACATAGTGAGGCAGATGCAGGTAGATTTCTATGAGTTCAAGACCAGCCTGGCCTATACAGTGAGTTCTGAACAGCCAGGACTACATAGAGCGGGGCTACATAGACAAACCACCTTGGGAGGGGGGAAAATTCTTTTAGATTTATTGTGTTATTTTGTGTGTATGGGTGTTTTGGTCTGTATGTTTGTGCACTGCATGCGTGCCTAGTGTCCTCAGAGGTCAGTGCATGCCTGGTGACTGAGGAGGAATCGGGTCCCTTCGGACTGGAGTTGTGAGCCACCACGCAGTGCTGAGGGTCAAAGCCTGATCCTCTGCAAGAGCAGTAAGAGCTCTTAACCACTCAGCCGACGCCCCAGCCCCTGGTTTGCATTTTGTTGTTTTGAGACAAAGACTCTGTATGCAGTCCTGGCTGTCCTGGAGCTCACTATAGATCAGGCTGGTCTCAAACTCACAGAGATCCATGCTGCTGTCTCTGTGAGCTTCTTCCTAAGAGCTGAGAATACAGGCCTGGGTCACCATACCTGGCCTGGTGTGCAGTTTTAAGACAAGGCTTAATTCTGTACACTGCCTCCAACTTGCAATCCTCCCGCCTCAGCCTCATGAGCATTGGGATTACTGGAGTGAGCCACTGTGCCCTGCTTAGTTCTCTTTATCCAACTTTGTGTTCTCTATGTTATGAATTTTAGGGACCTGGTCAGGTGTTCACTTATTTACCACAAGTTTAACTTCTTTTCGCATCAGGTCCTAATTCTAAATGTGTGTACACATAC